TTTATAGAAATTGAAAAAGGAAAATGTTTCAGATGAATGTTATTGTAATGTTGCGGGAAGGACATTTTACAGGAACAAGTGATGAAAACGCTAAAAAAGAACTATATGCAATTTTGTTCACCTGTTTACATGTTTTTACATGTTTTACAGACTGTAATGGGTAAAATTAAAATTCATATAGTTTTTTAATTTGGGAGAGTCAAAGAGTTGCAGAAACACCTTAAATCACAAAAAAACTTAACTGCAGAAAATACATGTTTCAGTAGTGACATTTCTTAATGTTCCACACTGACTTTCAGACTTTGGGACACATTTACTTCAAAATCAATGGGATCGAACTGCTCACCATGTGGCCATGAGGGACAGGGATGCAGCCTCACTTCCTGCTCTAAAATGCAGGGGCGTGGCTGAAATAAGGCTCCGCCTACAGACTAGATCTTGATTCCTTGTAAATATCTGAAAGCGAGATTCTTTTTTTAATAAATATAAAACATTTTTAATGCAGTTCTGCAACATTTTTGCTAAGCATGTTATTTTCAGGCTGTGGTCAGCAGCACAGGGCACATTTTTGCTGGCGGCTAAGCTGACAGCTAGAGACGGAAATGCTTGGTTATCACAGTATATCATAAGAGTGGCAGGGTGCTAGATAACATCTTAAAGTGTACTATTCTCACGCTGCTCTCAACTTCACAGCGTTTTAGATTGAAACAGTCAGATTTACGGCCTGATTAACTTTATGTGAACTCTGGTGTCCTTTATATAGTCAAGAGCTCCTAACAGTGGACAGTGGAGTAAGAGAGTTGTGTGAGTACCAGGTATCAAAGGAGATAACGTCAAGAATAATGTTATCCTGAAGCTAAAGCTAAAACTTTAAGAAATAGATTTTCAACCATGAAGCTAACTCTGTAAAGCTAACTCAGGAAAAATGTGTGTTTTCTTTCCCCAAGATGCAAACTTCAAAACCATGGTAATACACAAAATAAAATAATATAAAATAATATAATATAATATAAATATAAAATATTATTATTTATTTATAATAAAAGTAAGTAAAAATAAGTAATTAATAGTAATAACAAAGAAATGTAAAATCTCATAAAATAAGTATAAATAAATAAATGGGCCATTTATGCATGTTTTTTCCTCTGCTGTATATGAGAAAGACTCCGCCCACTAGACCTCCACCACTAAATAGAAGTGTGTCCACTCCTTCGGTTCAGTCACGAGTATCTCCTCCGAGTTCAATCAAAGTCCCTATAGGAAAGTTTGTCTGCTGAACGGTCAGTTATTTCAAGTTTTTCCAAGACCAGGCTTCTGTTTCTCTAAATGGAGAGTGGCCAAAATAACAGAAACCCAAGGCCTTGTTAATATTTCAAGAACAGATCTGAAATCAATGGGCATATTGGACAAAAACAGCATTAATAGTTTGTGGAATTTGGTAAAAAAAAAACATGTTTTTCAGCATGATCTGGCTGCTGCACATGCACAGATGTCTACAACAGGGGAGGGCTTTAAAACAGTGGTCGAGAAAAGAGTTGTTACATTGCCCCTGAATGTTTATTAGGAATTTTATTTATTAGGCTTGTTCTTGAAACCGAAAACAGAATTAACTGAAAATACTATTTTATCAAACTAAAAATACTGAGTTAAAAAGCATTTGCATCACCAAAGCCTCTGCTTTCATGGCATCTGCACTTTTTTAGTCCACAAGCATCTGGACTAGAAACTGGTCTAAGCTTATTGAGTACATACTTAATTACCTTTGGCCAGTTCAGTGTTAAAACGATGAATGTGGTTGACACCTTATTGCCTGTTCAAATATTCAGTACTGTGTGGCTGCAAATGAGGGAAGTGACCCTCTTCCTGTACATCTAACACATGCTAATGCTTTACTGGTTGAAGCAGAGAGCTGTGAAATCTGCATTAAGATACAGTGAATCATGAAGTCTCTCCTTTTTCTCACACTCAGTGTTCATCTGACATCAGCAGGTGAGTTTACTTTATGTAAACAGTTGTTTAGGTCAAATGTCTATATGTAATATATCTGTTGTCTGAAGAAAACCTCGTATCTCCAAAATGGTAACTTTACAGGAGACGGAAAAAACAAACGTTACTTTTAATGTAAGTCAATGGAACCAGACTTTCCCCCTCCCCCAAGTCATTTTGGGCCGTTTCTTTTGGTCCATTCATCGTGAAATTTACACACAATGTAAAGAACAACAGATTGTCAAAAACTGAAAAACAAAACAAAATGGAAAACAAAATGGAGATACAAGGTACAACAGTGACAACTGCGATATGTAATATATGAATGCAATATATAAATACAGTTTATAGGTATTGTAATATTTACTGTAATATAGTACAGCATGCAGTACATAGCAGTGCTCTTTGTCTTAGCTCATAACTTTGTTAATGCTTTCCAAAGGACCAGACGTTTAACCCCGTATATGGCAGATCCAAGGTTTTCTTATACACTTCTATAATTTAATATGATAATATAAGCTCTTTGACTGGGGGGGCGGGGTGCCTGACAATGAAATGTAAAAGATGAGCATGTCTTTACTTCAGAATATCCAAGACCATGTTTACATTCAGCACTGCAACAGTTTAACCATTTCTGCAGTTAAATCAATAGAGAACATTAAAATGGCTTTAGTCCTGTAATAAAAGAGACTAGTAACCAAAAATGTCTATATAACAGTGAATATAATGAAGTTATATAACAGAATGAAACACCTGTAATGTGTAGAAATCAGATGAGAATAAAATAAATCAGTCTAATAATGTAAATGGAACTGATGAAAAAAAGGAGTGAAAGAAAAATGCAGTCAGTACATTATAAGATGTTTCTATTGCCATTAAAATAACATTCATTTGAATTCATTGCTACTACAGATGAGCTTGGGAAGGCGGGGGAATGACACAGTACATAGAATGAAGTGAATATAAATGGAGAAATTAGTGAAAACATAGGCAGTTAATACTGCGGCAACGCCTCCCCCCCCGCTGTGGGCCCCAGAACTGCCTTCGCTTAAAGTCAATCTAAACTCAAAATGGGCCTTTATTATCTTGTTGGGTCCTGATCATATAATAACAAAAACAGGTTATTTACCTCAGACTGTCATATCAGACACTTTACCTGCACTTTTCACCATAAATGACTAAGTAACGGAGTTGAACACCTCATATTCCTCATTATGCTGATATTAATGCAGTAAAAACACAAAGTATACAATATAGAGCAGAAAGGCTAAAATTGTTTTTATCAAAATGTTTATTAAAATCTCTGATTCAAGCCATTTTCATTTCAAATAACTGAATGTTTTAAAAAAAAGGGTAACAGGGTTGCAATTTTAGCCTAAAATAAGCAGCATTCAGGAAGTGGTTAGCTTGATGCACATGTTGTATGCAAACCACTAATAACCATATCATTTATGTACATTTAAAAATATAAATGTATATTCTTTTAGGTATAATTTTGGTAACAGGATTGAATGGTCAAGCTTTTTTTTTATTGTGCTCATCTAATGCTAATTTTAATCATTTTATTTTAAGTACAAATCTCTTCACTACACACACACACACACACACACACACACACACACACACACACACACACACACACACCCCCCATCTAAACTGCTTATCTGGGTCACGGTGGGGTGCTGGAGCCTATCCCAGCTGTCCTTGGGCAGAAGGCAGGAATCACCCCGGACAGGTCGCCAGTCCATCACAGGGCCACATCTCTTCACTTTTTACAGAAATAAAAAAGTCACTTTATGCTTATGGAAAGGAGCATTAGTGTACATATCGCAATGTTCATATTTCGACTCTTTAACAACCTCGTAATTCAGAGGATCCAGTGACATACAAGAGAAGAACGTTTACAGGACGAAACATATCAGCTTTGGAACATTTTTGATTACTGCAGGATGCAACCGAGGAAATGTTCTAAACCTCCATTCATTCCTTTTAGACCTGGAGCCCCTAATATGGGCATAACGGCATGACAACACCACTGCAGTGCTCTATAATTTCAGTCATTGTTTTTTCATCCTGACAGCCACTCACTCTCTGCAGTACCTCTACACTGCAGTTACTCTGAGAATAAACTTCCCAGAGTTCTCTGTGGTGGGTCAGGTGGATGGACAGCAGATTGTGTACTATGACAGTAACATCAGGAAGATGATCCCAAAGACAGGCTGGATGAGGAACAATGAGGATGAAGATTACTGGAACAGTGAGAGCCAGATTAGTGAGCGTCATGAGGAGAACTTCAGAACCAGTGTGGATAATCTAATGCAGCGATTCAACCAGACTGAAGGTGAGCTTTAAATGTTGTCCCTACAGCCCCTTATCCATGATCACTGTAAAGTTCAGTCTCTCATTGCTTACTGCTTCTACTTACTTATCTCTGAAATACAGTTCCTTTCATTCATCAATGTGGGAGGACTCAGAAATGAAATGGAAAAAGTGTCTTGACCTTTATAAAACAGACAGTGGCTGTAAAAAATAACAACAGGCCTGAAAATACTCAAATCCACTGAACAATATTTAAGAAGTTTAAAACAACCAGAGCCGTGGTGAACCTGCAATAATACAAATACATAGACAAATACTAATACTAATACTAATAATTAAGAGGTTTAAAACAACCAGAGCCGCAGTAAACCTCCTCGGAAAAGGAGGAGTCTGCATGCTAATGATTTTGAGCTGGGTTCAAATGGGTGTTTTCTGCAGTGTATTAACAGGAACACGCGTGTGAAATTGAAAATCTCACTCCAGTTTCTTTACCAAAAGTTGGCCATTTTAATTTAGTTTTATGTTGCGTAAAAGATGAACTGCTTTTGGGTGGGTTTTTGGAGGTTGCAGGTGGGGGAAAAATAGGATCATTCTCCTGCTGGAAGGTCCTCAAGTTGCTGATATGAAAGAGAATTACAACACTGCAAATCCCATACAAGTGCTGTCTGAAATTAGCATTACTGTAGTAGTGGAAACCAGATTAACTACTTACATACTGAAGATTTAACCAATCCTATATGTGCAAAAATGTTTTAGATTATGTAATAGTGATATACGGTCTCATCATTTTTTTTAAATAAAGCGTTTCTGAATACCTAAAAGGCCAGTTTCAGTCCATTATTATTGGTTAGTTTCAATATAATCAATAGTGACAGCCCTGTGTGTCTCTGTAGGAGTTCACACAGTGCAGTGGATGTACGGCTGTGAGCTGCACGATGATGGAACCAAGAGAGGATACATGCAGTACAGTTATGATGGAGAAGACTTCATCAGTCTGGATCTGAACACTCTCACCTGGACTGCAGCTAATCAGAAAGCTGTTATTACCAAACAGAAGTGGGAGAGTGTAAACTGGGCTGCTCAGGTGAAGAACTACCTGGAGAACACCTGTTTTAGGTGGTTAAATAAGTATGTGGGATATGGCAGATCCACTCTGGAGAGGAAAGGTACAGTGATCTGATCTGTTACTGTAACTACAGCCGTTATTCACACACTTAAGTTTCACGTCTCATGCATTATCAAAGATCCTGTCTAATTTAAAAAATGTATTAATGTGTACAGTACAGAGTTGGCCACTGTATGCTGTGCGACTACTATCTACTATGAATTATTCAGTAACTACTACAAATTATTCAGTAACTGCTATGAATCATTCATCATTTATTATTAATTAGCCAGTAACTGAGTTATTCTGTAACTATGAATTATTAATCATCTGTTAATTATCCAGTAACTACTATGAATTATCTATGAATTATTCAGTAACTCCTTTGAATAATTTAGTACCCATTAATTCAGTATCTACTATGAATTATTCAGTAATTAGTACCCACTCTTATGTAAACCTGTGCTCTACCATCTGATTACACCTCCAGTCTGGTGGGGTAAACATGCTGCACATGAGCATTTTCAGTTTAACAGTAAAATCAGTAAGTAAAATATAACAGTACTGATTACATGACAAAATACTGCATTGCTTAATGTGATGCTGTGTCTCTTCCTTCTATTTCCTCCTCTCTCCAGTCTCTCCTGAGGCGTCTCTGTTCCAGAAGGACTCTTCTTCTCCAGTGGTGTGTCATGCTACAGGTTTCTTCCCCAAAGCAGTGATGATCTCCTGGCAGAAGAATGGAGAGGATCTGCATGAGGACGTGGAGCTCAGAGAGACGCTACCCAACCAGGATGGAACCTTCCAGAAGAGGAGCGTTCTGACTGTCTCACCTGAGGAGCTGAACAGACACGACTACACCTGCATCATTCAGCACAGCGGTCTGGAGAAGGAGGTGGTGCTACATGTGTCTGATCGCAGAGACCTGTCAGGTAGGAGAATCTGATTCTGAAGGGAAAAATCTTCTATTTTCAAGATCATTTGACTGAGTCATGTGAACACGCTGCTGTTTCAGGTGAAGTCTCATGTGGACGTGTATTTGGTATCATCATTAGTGCAATCTTGGCTGTTGTCCTTTTGCTGTGGATGATGAAAAAGTCTGGTAAGAAAAACTGGGATCTGCAACATAATTCTTCATGAAGACACACAGAGTGCATGTGCGTTTTTGCTGGACCTCCAAAGTGGGCCAGCCTATGAGAGTCAAACACCCAGATTTACACTATATTTCCAAAAGTATTCACTCACCCATCCAAATCATTGAATTTAGATGTTCCAATCACTTCCATGGCAACAGGTGTATAAAACCAAGCACCTGGGCAACTCAGCCACAAAGTGGTCGGTCACATAAAATGACAGAGCGGGGTCAGCGGATGCTGAGGCGCACAGTGCGCAGAGGTCGCCAACTTCCTGCAGAGTCAATCACTACAGACCTCCAAACTTCACGCGGCCTTCAGATTAGCTCAAGAACAGCATAGAGAGCTTCATGGAATGGGTTTCCATGGCCGAGCAGCTGCATCCAAGCCTTCCATCACCAAGCGCAATGCAAAGCGTCGAATGCAGTGGTGTAACGCGCCGCCACTGGACTCTAGAGCAGTGGAGACGTGTTCTCTGGAGTGACGAATCACACTTCTCCGTCTGGCAATCCGATGGACGAGTCTGGGTTTGGTGGTTGCCAGGAGACGGTACTTGACTGACTGCATTGTGCCAAGTGTAAAGTTTGTTGGAGGGGGATTATGGTGTGGGGTTGTTTTTCAGGAGTTGGGCTCGGCCCCTTAGTTCCAGTGATAGGAACTCTTAATGCTTCAGCAGACCGAGAGATTTTGGACAATTTCATGCTCCCAACTTTGTGGGAACAGTTCGGCGACGGCCCCTTCCTGTTCCAACATGACTGCGCACCAGTGCACAAAGCAAGGTCCATAAAGACATGGATGAGCGAGTTTGGTGTGGAAGAACTTGACTGGCCTGCACAGAGTCCTGACGAGCGAATACTTTTGGCAATATAGTGTATGTACAAGCGCAGCCCTGCACAGAATGTGCCTTGATGTGACCACAATATGCACCCACAATGTGAAGTTTTTGTTTTTGCACTAAATTTCGGATAACTTTTCCCAAGTCAAAGGTCACAGTTTGGCTTCAACGCTTTGCTCTCATGCTCTCCTAACATTGGCTATTATTACATTTAAAAGATCATGTTTCATTCTTTAGTAGCATTATACGTTATGATTGGTATCAGCACAGATTTCATAACCCCGCCTCCCTCTCTCTCCTCCAGAACCTTCAGACGAGTCTGTGTTAACCAAGGTCATCTTCTCTCCAGTGGATTATGAGCCTACAGGTCAGTTTGAGAGCTGAGGCTGTATGAAAGTTAGCAGATCTCTCAGCTGTGAATAATCGTTTCTTGTATGTTTATGTTTACAGAAATGGAGTAGAGAAGAGGAGAACAGGACCGAGACGATGAACGTTCAGTACTTTTTTCAGTATTATAATCCCTCATCCTTCCTTTTTATGAGAAAATATTTAAATGTCTTAATATAAAGTTCTCTACTTTTTCATCATGAATACCATAAATAAAGTCTGTATGTTGTAAATCACTCACTCGCCCCACTCGCCCTGATCTCAATCAGCTACAGACAGAGCCTGGCGGCCCTTAGTGTCTCCAAAGCCTGAGCTACGGGGGATATTGAGTAGAGGGTCTCTCCCACCTGTATTATGATTTAATATAAATCAAAAAACAGATTCCTAAACAGTGAAATAATGAACGGTCAGTTCAGATTAAAAGCGTGCTGTTCTTTATCAGGTGTTGCCATAAGGTGGCAGTATTGTGTAGAAGTAGGAACCCATCCACACTTGCACTAAAACTGACCCCCTCTGATAAACAGGACTGAAAGCTGCCCCCGTATTTCACACTTTGGACTGCACTCCCACTATCCCACACTCTGAAAAAGGAGGTTCCTCAAGGGTTCTTTAGTAAAAGCAATGGTTCTATTCAGAACCATGAGTTCTACATAGAACCAGTTCATGATCAAATGGTTGTTTGCATAATGAAATGGTTCTTAAGATTACAGAAAGTGTTCTATATGGTTCTATACTGAACCTTGTTTAAAATGGTTCTATATAGCACCAGAAAGGGTTCTGTTATTGTTACAGTGTCAAGCTTGAAACAACAGTGGCATTAACATTTTTTCATGCCACAGAGAACCATTTTCAAAAAGGTTCCACACAAAAGCATATCACGCATTCTTCATCCATCTAAAGAACCAACTCAAAAAGGTTCTTTATAGCATCAAAAAGGGTTCTGCTGTTGTTACCATGTCAAGCTTGTAATACTAGAAGAACCTTTTTTGGTGCTATATGGAACATTCTCCATCAGTCTGAGGAAAGATTAAAAAAGGTTCTATTCAGGAAGAAAAAGGGTTCTGTTATTGTTAGTGTCAAGCTTGTAGCAATAATAGAACCCCTTTTCATGCTACATAGAACCATTTTCAAAAAGGTTCTATATAGAGGCATATTAAACACATTCTTCATCCATCTGAAGAACCTATTCAAAAAGGTTGTATACAGCACCAAAAACTGTTCTGCTGTTGTTTACACTCTTAATAAAGATGGTTCTTCACAGGATCTTTAGTAAAGGCAACGGTTCTATTCAGAACCATGAGTTCTACATAGAACTCGTTCATGCTTTAAATGGGTATGAGGAAATGGCTCTTCAGATTGATGGGGAATGTGTCCTTTATGGTTCTACATTGATTTATGATTCTATGTTGAAAAAATGGCTCCATATAGCACTAAAAGGGTTCTGTTATTATTATTAACGCCAAGCTTGTAATAACAGAAGAACCCTTTTTGGTGCTATATAGAAGCATATATATCACATTCTCCATCCATGTGAAGAACCATTTCAAAATGGTTCTATATAGGACCAAAAACAGTTCTGCTATTGTTTACACTATTAAAAAAAGACAATTCTTCAAGGGTTCTTCAGTAAAGAAAAAGGTTCTGTGCAGATGCAAAAACAATCAAAGAACCCTTTGCATGATTAAGGAGTTCTTTACATGGTGAAATGGTTCTTCAGATGATTGGAGAATGTGCTATAGATGGTTCTGTACAGAACCATTTTCAAAAAAGGCTCTTTACAGAACCTTACACAACACATTCTCCATCAATCTGAAGAACCATTTCACCACGCAAAGAACCGTTTAAGGACGCAAATGGTTCTATATAGAACTCATGGCTCTAAATAGAACCATTACCTTCACTAAAGAACCCTTGAAGAACCATCATTTTAAGTGTGCACACTAACTTAGTTTATCTGTTTAGTTCTTGCTAATTTACTGACCACTGATTTGAGGCTAAAACCACTGAAAGCTGAATGTTGTGCTGTTTTGGTCTCGGTCCATCAAGCGTCCACTCGAGCTTCCAGCAGTGACTCCACTCAGTGTCGTGCTGAACCTCTGACCTGAAGGAGTTAGCGTTAGCATTAGCGTCAGCGTCAAACAAAAGACAGGAGGCGTTTGATCCGTGTTCACATCAGCACTTTGTTATCGATCTCCATACACGGTCAGTGATGTCATACACGTCATACAGAATGACCATGGCGAGGGAGGAAGCAGGTGAGCTGAGGGGACGAGCACGGCCCCGTTCCTCACTGCGGCCTGGAGCGGCTAGCTGGCTAACACTGTTTCACTGCTAATCTTCAGTTTAGCATTCTTAATCTTAATCTTAATCTGTCTTTATTTACGTTCAGTTCAGTCTCGTGGAGCCAGATGTGACCTCATAACAAGACTACACCTCTGAGGACAACCTGGTGCTGGACTATGCTGCTAACAAGGGCCCACCTCTGCTAATCCCTGCCCCCAGACTCCTCTGGTCCATGCTCTTTAACGTCCATCTTCACGAGGCGGTGGATTGATTTAGAAATAGACCCTCATACGTCTACATTCCCCCACATTTAGCCCAAAACGTCTCATGGTTGTCCCCAGATGTTTTCTCATCTGGCCCCACGAGACTTCAGTTAAGCGTTGTTTTAGTCAGGCAGGTCAAACTCGCTTCAGAGGTGTCCAGCTAGCTGAGTTAGCCACAGGTGAGGAACAGAGCCAACAGAGATGACTCAAACAGAGAGAGAACAGCTGTACCTCACTGACCTCAACCCTGTCAGCTTTGTTTTCGTTTAATTAGCCAATAGACTGGGCAGTTTTTGTTCATCCAGTGAGTTGACCAGTTATTGGCAGTTGAATTTAATGAAAACTGAAAGTTGTTTCTATAGTCGTGTTTGAGAGAAAGAAAAAAAAATGCTACTTTTTGCCATTTTCTCATTTTTTTTGGACTTTGTCCGTACAGAATATAAATCAAACTTACTCAATAAGTGACGTAACTGGCCACATAATTAATTATGTAATTGAAAAATAGCCGCATATAAATCAAACGCAGAGCAAACCGATGCTAACTCTAGATTTCTAAGGGTCCACAATCCCGTCATGGAGGCCAGTCCACATTTTCGCTGTACTCCAGCTTCCAACAGCACATTAATACTCTGCAGTCTCCACTAGGGGGCGCAGCGATACAATAAAGGCACTAATCCTTAATCTCTCTCACTCTCCCTCTCTCTCTCTCTGTTTAAGTTGTGGTCAGCAGTGAAAGCGAAGCGCGTTTGGAAGACAAACGGATGCAGAGCGAGAACTAAATCTAGAACACAGAATATGTTCCTCCGTTACACACCTTAGAACCTTCCATACCAGTGCTCTGTACATACTAGTTAAATAGGCTTGTTATTAACTGTTCATAACATCAACAATAATGTCTGTTAATAACAATATCATTGAGAACATTAACATAGTCTTCCAAGGACCCACATATTTACAACGATGAACAAAAGAAAATTGTAAAATAAATGCTTTTTTTTTCTGTATTAGAAAATAATACGTGATAATAAAAACGTTCCAACAGAAAAACAACGTAATAACGTGACATTGTCAACGGATGCTGTGGTAGTAATCTGAAAAACAAATCCAGATAGAATTTCGCAAATAATGTAGAAATGATGTTCATTTTCAGCCGCAACAGGTAAAGAGGCTAAACAAAAGAACGCCGGCCTTTAACGTTATTATATATAGAATCCATGTTCAGTACAGTAGAATACATTCCTGCTCTAAGGCCTTAAATACCACTTAAATATCAGGCTAAATGAACAGTGTTTCAGAAATGCCCAGTATGCTACCAGTGTGGTGTCGTTTTATGGCACTTCAGACCATTTGAGACCAATTTGGACATTTTGTATCGTTTAGCAGATAAACCCGTCTTCTACAGGCCTGTTCACACAGAACCACACTTATCCATGTGTAATTGGCATCATAGTGGACTTCAGCTAATCCAGTGAGTGCAGAATATACAGCACTGTAAAAGTCACAAATCCACCCCATTTATTTAATTTCCAGCCAGTTATGATTTTTTTAGCCAATATCTCTGAAGAGATTAGATATAAGAATGCATAAAGAAGGGAAAAGTCAATGGAAAATGAACAAAAACAGGAGTTTTAAAGTTTCTCAAGCTCCACTCTTGCTTTAGTAGAAAGTGCAACCAATTTCTAAGACTGAACTTTGGACGGAAAATGGCCTTGCAGACCATTGCAGACCCAAACTGAAAGCATGGAAAAGAATGGAAGCTGTAATAAAGGTGAATTATTACCTAATAAGTTTTTCCAGGATGCTAAAAAAATTGTATTACGTAGCTGTTTTGGTGGGAAATTAAATAAAGGGTGACTTTTACTCTGTACTGTACAATAAATAACTCCACATGCTGCACTTTGAAGGCAAATAAACAGAAAATCACTCTATTCGGCTGCTATAAGCAACCCTACCCAACAGTTCGCCCTCATACAGGGTCACTCACGTTAATCCGACAGGCCGTAACTAATCTCTAAATGCATTATAAATAATAAATAAGCAAAAATAACAAACCAACCAACAGTGCGTAGCTCCACATAGCTGCTAATGCTAACGCTAGTGCTAATGCTAGCAGCCTCCTCTCCCTTCTCCACTAGGAGGACGTCCCGGTAGAGGAGGTGAATGCGTGTACAAGGTACAACAGGTGAGGATGAGGAGAAGCACGGTGGTGGATGCGAGACGCAGTTCAGCTTAACGTCTGTTCAGTAGCGTGAACGCGCGGCGGCGTAGTCCGTCACATGCAGGAAAGCCAGCCCCGCTCTCCGTCACATCTCCGGTCAGCACAGCCGGACGTGAAAAAGCAGGGAGTTCATTGGTGCGTCCGTTGGTCTGTCAAAGCAGATACGACTTGCTATGTAGATTAGCGCCTCAGGACGTGCACTCATAAGGCCCAGAGAAGTTGACCAGTGTTTGTGTATTAGTGTCCATCTCTATTTGATAGTATGACATAGTTGCTAAGGCATGAGCTTGGCAGCTACATCAAAAGTCCATTCGGGTTCTGGATAGAAGGGAAAGTCCCAGACGCGCTGGCTAAGAGCGCTACTGCAGTGCTGTTTTCCCAGTTGGTTGCTAGGCTACTTCGACTAGCTGTGATCTCCACCTTGCAATGCTTCTGTATGGTTTATAGACAATGGCTAAGACACATGTACCTTGGGTTACAACAGATGGGACACTTGTATTTACATATAATCATACATTTTATACAAAACGAGCCCCGCAGAGCTTTCAGAGGGCATCGGTGTCGATTTCAAAACTACATTTGGCTTAAAGGAGTCTATACAGTGCTTTAATGTTGCTTCTTTTATGACCGTTTGCAAATTCAGAAAAGCAGGTAAGCTAATTCCCAAGTCACGCTAATGTCTAATCTCCACTTGCTAAGTTTCAACTCGCTAATATAAAGTCACGGCACTAAAATAAAGGAACCCTTCATTTAACAAAGAAGCGCACTTTACTTGAACCCGGCTACATAACACTACATAAACATGCCATAAACATGTCGTGGCAGATGTCATATGCTTTTGTTCAGTAATACAACATTGTCGTATTACCATTACTGGTAATTAACATGACAGATACCATGTAATGGCGGCTAACTAGAGCTAGCAGAAATTAGCATGTGACAGAAGCTATCCTGACATCAATCATAACAGTCATGAAAATTATTATTAATAGTAAGATAATTCATGACAGCATATAACATCTGCCATAACATGTTTATGTCAGTGTTTTGTAGCCGAGTCCATGTAAAGTGTTACCGTATTGCAACCTACATGGTTCCTTCTTAGCAAAAAATGCAGAGTGAACCATGCAGAAGTAGTGATGGAACATCTACACTGCTTTGAAAGGCTGACGATGCTAACATGGCTAACCATGACTGAAAGCTAGTCGTAGCATGATCTCCTACTGCCGGAAATTGTTCAGTCTGAGTTTTTGTTTGTATGTTTCTGTCACAAAGTTTGTCTTAAGCCAGATTCACCAAGAAATTTTAGTATCCATCGAAAACTCCATTGATTTCGGTGAGAACAGCGAGCTAAGTCCACTGTAAACTGTGCAATCACAGCAATCTTATACGTTTACTGTACACCAAATGGCCCAAAATCTATACTGTGTGGCTGACTGTGGGACATCATGAAACAGTGGTAATGTTTTGCTTTGAAAATATGGCTAAAAAGGTGTGTTTCTGCTTTGTTTGCATTGTTTGCAAGCCAAGACATGGCTTGTGCTACCTTTTCATATTTGATAAATCTAATTTACCCAATGTTGCCCAGGTAATTTACCCGACGTACCCCAGGTGTAGTCCATCAGACAAGCAGGTCCAAATTTTGCTTCTTTGGTCTAGAACTAGAGCTATGAGGCTAACATTGCTAACAAACACTAGAACTCAATAGTCACCCAAATAGCCCAATTCATTTCTGTAAAAAAACATCAATGGAACTTTTCAAACCGCATCCAAGTCTTCATTGAGGTGGCGCAGACTTGTACCTGTGGTTTAGGACTATAGCTATAAACGTAAACAAAGCATCGGCCATTTCAGACACAACCACGGCTGATATTCCTGATATCAAAGCAGAACCGATCTTGGATTCATATTTATGGCAGATATGGCCAGAAATACGGATTCGAGATCAGCACTCCGACTCCTGAGGGGGTTTGTAAATACAAATCTTGTCTAAAGTGGCCGCCTGCGGTTTTATTCATTCTTACAGTCAAAGGTTAAGTCATAGTGTCCAAAACCACATCTGCAAAAATGCACCACCTTATCGAAGACATGGATGCAGTTTAAGCAAACCTTTGAGAGAGGTTTTGGTGATGTATTTGTACATGAATGATTTAGACTCTTTGGGTGACTATTGAGTTCTACTATTTGTTAGCTACATTAGCCTCGCTGCTCCAGTTCTTAACTTCAATTCATTACCAAAGATTTGCCATTTTTTGTTTGCGAAAACTTTGTTGGGGAAAAAAATCATAAAGCCAATAGGAGACGGTCTGGGGCGGGGCTAAGTTAGTCACACTGATGCTGAGCAGGATGGAGTAGAGGCTAATCCCTGCTAACTGCACTCTAAAACTAACCAATAGGTCTTTTTGATGGATACCAAAACGTCCTCGTGAACGCTGCCTAATAGTAGGTACCATGTTAGCCATTCGCTCTGTTTGTTTGAACTGTCCCTTTAAAAGAGCTGAGATTTACTCCTCTAGACTGGACACAAAGTCAGGCACGTAGATAAACAGTTAGAACTGGACAAATATAGATTCCCCCCCAATAAATAATACTCAGCAGTAGTATTCCCTTCTTCTCCCACTCTGAATGTGTATGTATGTGTGCATGTGTTTATATGGGGTCCGTGTGAGCCGTGCCTGATCACAGGCTTAGTGTTCACTGTGGGCCCCGAGACCCCCGGCACTCCTCGCTATTCAGGGTGACGTAGATTATGGGCACGAGGCCCTGGGCGTCGCCCAAAGTGCAAAGCAGCCAATCAGAATCGGCCCTGCCCAGCACCTGCAGCACATCACCCTTATGGAAGCTCAGGTGGCCTTTTTCCGTGGCGATGTGGTGGCACAGTGCCCTCACCTCACTGAGAGAGAGAGAGAGAGAGAGAGAGAGAGAGAGAGAGAGAGAGAGAGAGAGAGAGAGAATATGTTTATTTATGAAGTTGGCTTTATGGTTTATTTTAACATCAGGTATTGTCCTGACAAGTGCTACAAGTATTCGTGGGCAATATAGCAAAAATATTACAAGATACTTACAATTTACTTCTCTGGCATAAAATGGACCCCAAAAACATTTTTAGAAAAAAAAAAAAAGTTTACATGGGTCCTTTTGGGGAATGTTGCCTTAAGGCAACATCGTGCACCAATAGGAAGAAATGACAGAGCCGTGTGGTGAGACCTGGCTTGGGACTGGCCAAATCCATTCCACTGTTGCATGATGTTGCTTCTAGGCAGCAAACATTTTTTGCAAATTCTCATTACAAAGAAAGTGATATTGAATGTTAAAAAAAGAGGTTTAAAAGTGCCCAGTAAGAGACAGTACGACCAAGTACATGCTTTCTATTGCCGTCCTCAAACCCTTCCCTTCATTGTTAACCCTGTCTCTGTCTTTAAATATGTATAATGTTATTGTGAAGTGGGGAAAATGGGTTTGTTGCCCTGAGGCAACATTGTGCAATGGGTTAAAATTATTTGAATGTTTTAGGTGTTAATGTTCTAATGTTAAGTGTTTAAGTGGGTTATTGCGTATTTTTGAGAACCACTCGAGGTGTTTGTGTGTTTATAGGGTGTGTGCAAAGGTTTGTGCACCCCTGGGCAAATTCCACGTATTGTTAGTGTAATTAAGAGTCAGTTCCTGATAGCCCTGAGTGCACCTGTTTCTTCCCGTTATTGGCTTTTTGGCCACATGCTTTTGTTTTGGTTTTGTTTCCTTTGCTCCACCTTCCCTTATTAGGATTCTCACCTGTTTGTAGTCCCTGTCTCCTCCCTCGCCCAGGTGTTCCGTATTGTTTGCAGCTTGTATCAAGCCCTTTGTTTCAGTCATGGTTTCATAGTCTACACCTGTTACTTTGTTACATGGAGTGTTTAGGTGACTGCCCGGTGTTTTGTTGACTCAATGTTTTTTCTTTTGTTTGAAAAGCCGTCTGGTTTCGAATTAGCTGCAACCTGTGGCTGCTGTCATACGTGCCTGAGGAATTACTACCGACTAAACGACCAAACAAAAACGGCTCTCAAAGGAGAGATGGGGAGCTGACTATATTTCATCCTTTCCTTTTCTTTTTAATTCATTTTCCCCCTCGTCTTAAATCAGAACAATGTTTCTTTCTCCTTCTTTCCTTTTTCTCTTTTCTTCTCTTTCAACTAGCAGCTCTCAGTTTTCTCCTCTTGGTTTGTTTTCGCTTTTTACCATTTTCTTCTCTTTTTTTCTTTTTTCCCCTCTTTCTTTTTGTCTTTATACCCACTGGTCTAAGGTACCGTACCGGTCACCCTCTACAAAGGTGTGGCAAGGTTGTGCTTTCTGCCACAGCCTTAAATGCTGGTCCCAACAGGTGCGCCTTGTTGGCACTGATTACCCCTTGGTATTCTGGGATTTTAGTCTCCGAGTACGTTTCGTCACTGCTGTTCGCCCTCTTGGTGGCAGCCGGCATACACAGTTAGCCCTTTGCAATAGCACCATTTCTATAGGAATGTCAACGCAAGTTTAAAATAAATTAAAAAAACAAAACATGCCAACGATTTGCACATGCCAGAGGTTTTGTTAGTGTTTTTATTTGTCCCCAGTACGTTAAATTCAGAATATAAACAGTAACCGTGCATTAAACTGTGCAGGAGTGTGTCTCTGTGGAGGATTTAAACTTATTTACACTGACATGGACACTTTTTTACATACCACTGAACTGTGTACCGAGGTTGCTGCCCAATTACTTTCGCACGTGGACGAATTGTCTGTGCTGGAGTGCTAGTTACCGTTTAGTGTCAGTGTGAACGGGCGTCTCCTGTGTTTGGTCTTGCTGTGTTGCATTTGATGTATTTTGGGTATCAGGACTGTGGGCGGTGGCACTGTGAGGCTCAGCCCGTTTCCCCACCCGCGACCTGATGTGGATCACAGATCAAACACTGAGCGGTGTTTCCAGACTTCAGAGCCATACGGTCAACTAACAGAAAGACAGAGAATATACAGAAGAAGAGATTTTATGATGTGATTGTCTCTGCAGTGATATACAGAAACCCTGAAGATGAGACTTGGGGGGGGGGGGGGTCAGGTGGGCTCTCCTGCACAAAAAACAGCTCAAATGTTCATGTATCAGGATAAATCCACAAAATACAAACGCCAGTTTTTCATATTATTTATTTACATATATCCTATGTTACTTATAAAACAGAAAGTGAATAAATAAATTATAAAAATAATTAATAAATTAAAAAATCATTAAATGCTAAAAGTAAAATATATCAGCACAAAAAAAGGGCGGCCATATAAAAGGGGGCTAAGATGTCCCCAAACGTTTTCGCGTGCTGGGTGAACTGTTCATTAGGCGTGGTAAATTGTGATGATATGCTGTCCGTCGCCGCTCCAGTCTGACCCTGCGCTCCTCCGGGGTGGTCCGGATCGTCTCGGTTTCTGTCCTCTCTCTGTACTCCTCTTCACTCGGTCAGTGGCACTTGTGCTCTGGAGGTGCTCCCATCCACGACGGCTTTCCCTTTCAGCACGCTCTGTTGTTGGGTTGCGGTTTCTGAGGGGGGGACCTGTTCGGTTAGTGGGTGCCTTGAGTTACTAAACGACAATAATAATTACCAAATTCAGTTATGTTTTCATATCGATTATCAGCTATGTTTGATAAAATGGAGATGATATTTTGTTGCAAATTCTGGGATTCGCAGAAAACACTGCAGCTTTAAACAACATCAGTTCACTGTGGCGCTGAGTGTATTTTACTCTCTACATGGGGAGGGGCAGCTACCGTTAGCTACTGTCAATTAGCAAAGTCAGACAACGTTAGCTATATTCAGGCAGCAGGCTACGCTAGTGTTAGCTGTTTTCAGTTAGCTGACATAACAAGTGTTCGCTGTTTTCTAGTATTACCTAGTACTAGCAATTTTTAGTTAGCAGAATTAGCTAGTATTAGTAATTGTAGTTAGCAGAGTTACTTAGCGTTAGCTATTTTCAGTTAGCAAAGTTACCTAGTCTTAGCTATTTCCAGTAAGAGTAAGCTAGCGTTAGATGTTTTAAGTTAGCTGCATAAGCTAGCTATAGAGTTATTTTCACTTAGCAGAGTTACGTACTGTTTACTATTTTCAGTTTAGATAGTACGTACTGTTTACTATTTTCACTTAGCAGAGTTACGTACTGTTTACTATTTTCAGTTAGCAGAGTTACGTACTGTTTACTATTTTCAGTTAGCAGAGTTACGTACTGTTTACTATTTTCACTTAGCAGAGTTAACTAGTATTAGCTATATTCAGTTAGCAGAGTAAGCTAGTGTTCACTGTTTTCAGTGCTGATTTATGGAAAGTAGTGCTAGTGACAGTAAAGTAATATTAATTTTAGATTTTACACCAGATTATGTTTTTTTTGCTTATTTAATGCATATAATAGTAATTAATGAAAATTACTTATATGAAAAAATCAAAGTAATAATTAATAAAAAGAAAAACATCATCACTTTCATTAAAAGAAACTCTTAACCTCATACGTATATATAGCCCTACCCTGATTGGTCGAAGGCTCCGTTTCTGACGCTACGCCCTGCGCCGCTGCTTGATCTGGTCCGTTGCAGGTCCAGCCGTTCATCCACCTCATGACTGGCCTCGGCTCCCTCGACCACACCTTCTCTGGGGGGCGGGTGGCTCTGTCTCCGCCCCTCCGCCCCTCCCTTCTTCCTCTTGTCCCACTTGACGAACTTGGAGCCCTCGGCCGAGTTGTCGATGTACACCTGTGAGCTCTGCATCAGCTGGAACCACCAGCCGGCCTGTTTACTCTTCAGCCTGGCCGAATCCCCGTCTCTCTCCCGCCTCCTCTCCTTCTCTCCATCCTCCCCTCCTACTCCTTTCATCCTGTCTGCACTCCTCTCTCCTCCTTCCATTCGACTTCCCTCACTCCTTCTACCTGTGTTCAGCATTAGCCCCACCCCCTCTTCCAACGATTCGCTACCTGCTCCTTCACTCCTCTGCACTTGTCTGTTAGACCCCGCCCCCTCCATCCTAGGCCACGTCCCCTCTCTCCTCAGCACGAACCTGTCTCTCTGAAGCTCCACCCCCTCTGGTTTAGCCTCCACCCCTGTGTGTGCGAGCTCCGCCCCCAATGTTCCACAGCCCCTCATGAGCTGGAAGGTAGAGCGAGCTGATTGGTCGAGGCCGTGGCGGGCGGAGCACAGCTGCTCCTTGCGTCTCAGGTGCTCCTGACCTTTCTGAAGCTGGTGTGGCTCAAACAGGAGGTCAAGATCGAAGGGCAGCAGCGACAGCGGCTGAAGGAGGAGCAGCAGCTCCTCAAACATTGGCTGACACGCCCCTTGAGACAGGGGCAGGAAACCCCATGGGTGATAGTGGCAGCTATAATATCTAAAAAGAAAGGACGTCCAGTTAGGGGTCAATAGAACAGAGCAAAGACAAAAAGACATGAAAGAATGTTAACATCCTACCTTCATGCGTGTACATGTGGTTAAACCAGAATTCCAGAGATCGCAAGCTGAGAAGGAAAGAAACGAGAATTATTTATAACTACTTACGAAAATTAAAGGAACAGTTCAGTGGTCAGATTTACACAAACACCCCCGCCCTCCCCCCACTCCCCCGGCCCAATCACAAATATTATCAGTTGACCAAGACATGTTTGATGTCTGAAGTATCTTTAGTTTTAGCACTAGAGCTACAAGACTATTATTTTTGGTGACATAGACTTCCATTACTTGTTAGCTACATTAGCCTTGTAGCTTCAGTGCTAAAGCTACAGATGCAAACAATAGACACCAAACACATCTCAGCTGACTGGCTTCATCTGAGGTACGTGGTGAAATGTCAGTACACTAGGTGGCGCTGTCTCTTACTCTCTAGACAGGGAAGAAGAAGAAGTCTAGCCATTCACTCACAACAGCACAAACCAACAGGACACTTAGCAGAGTTAGCTAAGGTCAGCTGGTTTCAATGGGGAGGTGGGGAGGTGGTCACAGGACAAGAAGCCTCAGTTTTCTTTTCTAAGGTCTAATTTAGCTGTAATTTTGTTTACCCTAAGTATCTGTAGCTGTCTTAAGTGAATGCAGTGCATCATTAGCATTAACTATTTATTAGCTTGGAAATTCACAGCAAACAGTCAAGTTCACCACAAAAAATAATAAATAAGCCATGAAAATCAATCAAAATTAAATAGAAAAACTGTTTACAAAATTAAAAAGAATGGCGAAATAGTAGGTAAACATTCTGTGCTGCAAACCGATTCCCAGTTGGTCCACCAGGCCTGAAACTTTTGCCTAATCACAAGTCAGAATGCTGTAGAGGAGCATAGCGACTAATGTGACCAGATATCCATCCGGAGAGAGGAATGTCTGTTTAACTGTCTCGCTGCTGCGCTCTGTAGCACATACGCTGTATGTATGAAAGGTCAGCACAGTCAAGCTGTAGCACTTACGCTGCCACATCACTCGCTACTCAGAGGCAGCATGTGTGAATAAGGCCTTAGCTTCACATTCATTCACATATAATGGCAAAGCACATAGGAGAACATCTGTATCTGTCTAATGATTAAAGAATCAGAGTACGGGGGGGTTGGGCGAGGGGCTCTGCTCACTGCAGGGTTTTATAGCGTCTGCATGTGTTGATGATGAAGGAGAAAAACAGTCTCCTTCAACTGAAGCTGTGTGGGCTGCATTCAGCCTCATCAAAGGAAACTCACATCTTTAAAATCCTCAGGACTCTAAAGCTGATCTTTATCTGGAGCAGCTCATATAGACTCAGAACAGCAAACTGAAGCTCCTCTACTGCGCTAACGTTAATGATCAGCCAGAATGAGGAGCTGTAAAACCACACAGACAGACAGACACACACCTTCACCCTTCACTGAGGAGCTACAAAACCAGACAGACAGACAGACACACACCTTCACCCTTCACTGAGGAGCTACAAAACCAGACAGACAGACAGACACACACCTTCACCCTTCACTGAGAGAGGAGCTATAAAACCAGACAGACAGACAGACACACACCTTCACCCTTCACTGAGAGAGGAGCTATAAAACCAGACAGACAGACAGAGAGACAGACACACACCTTCACCCTTCACTGAGAGAGGAGCTATAAACCAGACAGACAGAGAGACAGACACACACCTTCACCCTTCACTGAGAGAGAGAGAGAGAGAGACAGAGAGAGAGAGAGAGAGAGAGAGAGAGAGAGAGAGAGAGAGACAGAGAGAGAGAGAGAGAGAGACCCCAAGAGGTTCTTACTTTAACAGGCCGAAGATGAAAGCGTTGAGCCTCATGCTGTGATTGGTCAGTTCAGAGTACTGACTGACTTTAGTGAAGAGATTGTGCAACACACGCGTAGAGGGACCTGAGAGAGAGAGAGAGAAAAAGAGGAGAGAGAGAGAGAGAGAGACTTTAACCCAAGGCTTATTACACCTTATGGCATACCATTAACTGAACGGCCTACTATGCAAACTGGCCGAGTTATTCATATGTTATACACAATGAGTAATGAGTTGACCACTTCAGGGGTTAAATTCAGTTTAAAACCATACTTAATTATGATGAACACAGTCGAGGGTAGAGAGATATTTAAAGGAATAATTCCGTGAAAAGATAAATATTCCTCTTAAACCAACTGTAGTCCATCAGTTTGGTACCTGATGTTTTCTATTTTATGGATCAAAATAAAGACAAAGAGGCCTCACAGGTCAAACTACTCATACTTACCTTCCTAAACGTTTATAATAAACAACCCCTCCTCTCCAAAAAACAAAAATAAACGTTTCTTATTCCTCAGTACAAAAGAAAAGTGCTCCTAAAATCAGCTACTGAATCCTCTCTCTCTCTCCCTCACCCAGCTGTGTGGACGCCTCCACCACACTCCAGGGCTGGTTGCGGCGCTGGCCGATGATGATGTCCAGAACGTACGCTCTGAGGCCGTCCTGCAGGACGTCCCGCACGGCCGGACAGAGATACTTCAGGATCAGGTGACCCACGTTAGGGCTCACTGAACTGTTCCCCAGCTTAGCCTGAGAGAGAGAGAGAGAGAGAGAGAGAGAGGGTGATAAAGGAAAAAAGTGACCAAATAGCCATAAACAAGATGACCATGAACACAACATTTTCTATGGTTATTGTACTGGTAGTGGCTAACAGCACTGCCCTCGACGTCTGTTAATGACGCATTTTTAATAAAGCCTTTAGAGGGCAGCACTGAGTAAGGATACTTTATTGGATGTCTGCTATGTTGATGCGTCGGCTGCTATTTTTATCACTGTGTAAAGTGTAATATAGCTAGCTAACGCTAATGTCATTAGCAGGTATGCTAGCCCCGCCCCATTTTCTGTCCCTCTCATTCAGTACCTTCACTCCTGGATCCCGACTGGTGCCGAAATGAGCCACAATCAGGTCCACTGCTGTGTTTATGGCCTTCACCAGTCCTGAGAGCGAGAGGAGAGAGAGAGAGAGAGAGAGAGGAGAACGATGGTGAGAAATGAAGGAGAGGAGGTTCACAGGGTTTCAGGAGGCGCTGAAGGTGAAGCTCCACACCTCTCTTCTGCTGCAGGTCGATGGAGATGGACTCTTCAGTGGTGGCGTCAGGAGACAGGCAGAACTCCTCGGGCGGCCGCTCGGTTTGAGAGAAATAATCGGGCAGGAAGTCGCTGTAGTACTGCTGCAGCTGCCTCACTGACTGACCTGTAAACAAACAAACAAACAAACAAACCACTATGATTAAGGAGGCGGATCTTTGGTATCACTTTCCCAGGCTGAAGGGAATTCTGCACACTTAGCAAGACAACAAGACTTAAGCAATAATAACATACAATAAAGTGTAGAATCATCTGCTGTATGAGTATTTATGCAAATATAGACGAATACACTCTTGAATGGTAACGTATCATGTTTTATCTACACCATCAATTTTTTACCTTCTGCTTTGTTTATTACCCTCTTGTGTTTTTAGGCCTTAGAATTTGTAATTTCTGCAAATTAAATGTTATTTTATTAATGCAGTGTCTCAGATTGCTAAACTAGCCCCTGTACGGATGTTCAGATGGTCAGACAGCCACACAGGGATGAAATGGGATTATCAGAGACTCAAGCTTGTTTCCAGGTGTGAAGATCCCTTAAATTATGTTTTACTGTAAAAGTGTTTCTAAGCTAAAAGCTCATATTTCCTGATAAGTCTGATAATGATGTTCTGGCCCCTCCCCACCAGCTCCCAATCTGACTGACTGATCTAGCATGGCTGTGATTGGTCCAGCACCGTTGAATCTGCCGAAGCTGAGCGAGTGATTGGACGGGGGGAAATCGAAGACGTTGCGGCGCAGGACGCGCGGGCCGGGCCTCCTGATGGTCAGAGCGTTAGAGGAGGAAGAAGGAGAAGAAGAGGAGGAGTCTCTACACCTCTCCACACCCAGAGGGTTCTTACGCCTGTACTCTCTCCATTTCAGAGCCTGCGGAGAGAGGTGGTGCGCTGAGGGAGGAGAGGAACGAGGGAACAGACAGACGGAGGAAAAGAGTAAGGATGGATGCGTGGATGAATGTATGGATGGAGAGGAAAACGGACGACAGTTGGGAATAGGTAAATTTATGTATGTATGGATGGATGGATAGGGAAAATGGATGATAGATGGTAACAGGTAATTGATGGATGGATGGATGGATGGATGTATGGGGAAAATGGATAACAGATGGGAATAGGTAAATGGATGGAGAGATGGATGAACAGATGGGGAAATGGATGACAGATGGTAATAGGTACATGGATGGATGGATGGATGGATGGATGGATGGATGGATAAATGAATGGATGGATGAATAGATAGGGGAAATAGATGACAGACGGGAATAGTTACATTGAAGGACAGATGGATGGATGGATGGATGGAAGGATGGATGGATGGATAAATGAATGGATGGATGAATAGTTAGGGGAAATAGATGACAGACGGGAATAGTTACATTGATGGACGGATGGATGGATGGATGGAGGATGGACAATAGATACAAATAGATGAATGAACAGAACAGATGAATGGATGGATAGGGATGGATGAGAAGAGTATGAAGTGTTAAAAGAGGAAGAAAAACAGAGAGAAATAGAGAGAATCAGTAGCAGCTTAAAGAAAGAAAAGCCAAAGCAGTGCGTTTGTGTTGTGACACCAGCATCTCTGATACAAACACCATGAACTGAAAGTAAAAACCCATCAGAGATCAGATTTATTATCAAATCTCAGACCTACAGTGGACCTACAGGGCAAGCAGTCTTCCTAAACTGGACAGTGAGTATATTCATAGGTATTTGGTAATGATGGTAGGGATAGACATTTCGTCAAATATGATATTAGTAATTATAGGTATTATTAAAAAAATACACCCCCCCAAAAACAACACCCACATATGACCAGACATTATAAAAGAAGCGTTATAAGGCATCATTGCTTTCTAAGGTGTATCAAGGCGCAATTCATAATGCAGCACAAGCACAAGCTGCCTTCTGAGTGTTGCAGCAAGGGGGCACTATAGCAACAGCCAAGACTGGACAAACTCTTTTGTACCGCCAGTGTGTTACCGTCCGGTCAAATATCATAGCAGACAAACAGTTTGAAGCAGTTTTTCCACAAGTTTAGCTCCTGTGGATGTTATAATAACAGTAGATCCTGTTTCTTCTGGGTTTTTCTGCTATGGCTGTTTTTGTCCTACCCGCTGACCGGAGTAAACAGGGAACAGTAGCTTTTAGATGGCTGCAGTAAGAAACAGACTCTACGCTGCCCCCTGGTGGAGTATAGAGTTCAAACGACTCAATGTGAGTAGCAAAAAATTCTAATTTACTATTTTGAAAATTAGAACATCTCGAGATGATGCAGACTGAATTTCTGGATATGAATTTATTAAATTTAACCAGACTAAATATGTACAATCTCTAATAGTATTCTGTAAATATTCCCAGTCAAATCTGCAGTAATTCTAACGATAAAAGTTACAGTATAACTATTTTAGACATGTTAATTTCGATATAGTACCGGTATTATTGTGCATTGTGAGATACCTACCGTTATGCTGTCTCTGTGCTAAACAGGCAGGAAGCACTTTCACCTCCTCCTCCTGCAGCGCCGGCTCCAGCTGCCCCATTGGACTGAGGCCTGAGCTGGGCAGCGTGGGTAATGTAGTCAGACCGGGGCGGTGAAAACAGTGCCCCCTGGTGGTCAGAGGGCTTATCAGCGGGCTTTGCTTCACCAGCGGTACAGGAGGCGGGGTTGGTGGTAGCGGGGTGAGTTTGGGAGCCCCCGGTGGGGTGTGGTGGGCCATCAGGGTGGCAGACGTCGGGCAGGAGAGGGAACGCGGCGGCCGTGGACACCGCTCCGGTGTCGGGGAGCACGTGGAGCAGCTTCCAGAGCAGCTGGGCGCTCCCTGCAGGCGGACAGGAGAATAGCTGCCCAGCGGAGATGGCCTGACCGCGGCAGATGCGTTGTGGGGTCTCCCACGATCTTCCTCAAGGTCTTCCTCGCCGCCCTCCGGGGCGGAAGCCCCACGAGACTGCATGTGGTTGATGTACTCGTCCAGCAGGGGGAGCAGAGGCTTAGCCTGGGGCTTCCCGAACTGGTGCTGGAAGGTGAAGGGCTGTATAGGTAACGTAGTCGGACGCTGGTCCTTGCTGTAGCGGACTACACCTGGGGAGGAGTCTGTAGAACTGGACAGACCACCTTAAACAGCAAGAAAGAAAGCAGGATTTTAATAGTGATATACTCAAGCAGGCCTGCAATCATAATAATGATAATTATCAAAATAAAACAGTTCTTGTTTTGTTCCTCTGGTTTTACCACCAGTTTGAACTAAGTGTGTCTTTTACTCTCTAGATGGGACAGAAGTCTAGCCGTTCACTCACGACAGCACAAATCAACAGAAAGGTTGGCAGAGTTAGCTAGCATCAGCTATTTCAGTGGAGAAAATACAAAAGAAAGTCATAAGACTGAGGAAAACATCTGAGAACATAAGGAGATAGTTATGTCCAAAAAATTCTCTTACATAAAAAAGCCGTTTTGTTTTCTTCATGGTTCAAAATGCAATTCAGACTTAGCATCAGATACTGCATTTAACCACAGGGAAGCCCTAATCTGATCCAAAGGGGAATCAGAACCAATCCAGGCCTATTTTAATGCACAAACTAATGCAGTTTCAGAAGCCTTGTGACTGCAAGGTCGCCGGTTTGATCCCCTGAGCCGACAGGACATGACTGAAGTGCCCTTGAACAAAGAACCTAACCCCCAACTGCTCCCCAAGAGGAGCCCAAGAGGAGAAAATGGCTGGTGGAGAAACTGAGAGATAAAATGTAAGTTAGGAGAACTTTTCATTTTAAATTGAGCTGACTTTCCTTTTTTAACAGTGCAAGAGGAATTAGCAGCTACTGTGTGTGCATTATAGCAATATGAAATCATACAGCATTCACTCTATATTCACACTGTAAATCAGTTATTTCATATTTTGTCGTCCACCAGAAGTGTATACCACTATACACATATCAGAAATGTGACTATTGCAGAAAATTTGCATATCTATGCCATATTATGCATATTCATATACTAAAATGAAGTAATGTTACTGTAGTATTAACTGTCAGATTAGCATGTCTAACCTAAATGACATAGATGTAAATATAGATGATCTATGAATACAAAGATGGGATTGGATCGGTATCGGCCGATACTCAACATTAACGTATTCGGATTGGATGATATTATTATAGATATGAAATGATAAAGAACAACGTACCATGATATTTTAGCTACATCGCATACAGCCTCTGTGATTAAGACATAATGACAGTGAAATATCTTTTTCTTGATCACAGCAACAGCTACAGTAATATTTACAACACTCAGGGCTTCTTCCAACTGCTAGAAAAACCGAAGCAATGACACAGCATGTTAAAGTGAGAGAGAGAGAGAGAGAGAGAGAGAGAGAGAGAGAGAGAGAGAGAAGAGAGAGAGAGAGAGACCTGCTGAAGATACATTGCACAGCGCGAGGCAGCAGAACAGCAGGAGCCACTTCAGAGACACAGACGCTCAGTCAGGCTCTCTCAGACCTCACCAGCTCTCAGCTCAGCAGAAACGGCCAGAAGATCAGAGAGAAACGCAGGACAGGCTCCTTCTTCCGTCTGTGTGAGTGTGTGAGTAAGAGTGTGTGACCGGTGTGTGACCGGTGCGCAGTGTGTGTGTAACGTCACAGTGTGAGTGTGTTTACTCGGACGCTGCAGGCCTCAAATGTCACTGTTCCTCCCAGACCGCAGTTCATACTGTCAGCCACTGGAGGCAGCGCTGCACCAGCACTGAACGCTCTCTGCTTTACACACCCGCCTTTCTCTTTCTCTCTCTCTCTCTCCCTCTCTTCGTCTCTCTCTCTCTCTCTCTCTCTCTCTCCCTCTCTCTCTCTCTCTCTCTCTCTCTCTCTCTCTCTCAGAGAGGCACTTTTCCCATTATTCTCTCTCCTTTCCACACCTGCCTTTCCCTCTCTCGCTTCCTCCCTCTCTCTCGCTCTCTCCAACTCTACCTCTCTCTCTCATCTTTCCTCCCTGTCTCTCTACTTCTTTACCTCTTTCTTTTCTCCATCTCTACTTCTCTCTTTCTCACAGTCTCTCTCTCTCTACCTCTCTCACTCTCTCTTTCTATAACTGACACTCTCTCTGCCTCTCTCCCCGTCTCAGTCTCTTTCTGTATCTCTCTCTCTCTCTCTCTCTCTCCAGTACATGATTACTGCACTGTAATGACCAGGTCAGGTTTTCTGGACTGGGAGCTGGACTTGTGTTCTGGAACATTCCTTTCAGGGTCTGGTGACCTGTGTTCCCACAGGAAACGTACACAGTCTTCATAAGAACAGACTGACCCGGTCACTTCTTAAACAGAGATACAGACGCTTTTTAACCCGCTTTTTGATCCCTGTCAGTCGACTCATCTACATATTGCTTATATTTAAGGACAAACCATCTATAATCATCAGTGTCAGGACAAAAAACTCTGATCTCCAAAATGTTTTTTTAATTAATTGTCCTTCCATTGTGTGTAAATGTCATGATGAATGGACCAAAAGAAAGGTCCAAAACTACTTTTAAATATGTCCGGTTCCGTTGACTTACATTAAAAGTAAAGTATGTTTCTTCCTTCTGCTGTAAAGTTACCATTTTGGAGGTACGAGGTTTTGTTCCAACAGCAGTGATACAATTATTTGTTCTGATAAACTGGAAACACCAGAAACATCAAACACTATGAATGCAATGATTTATATTGAGCATTTCACACTAAATCAACCAAACAGAACTAATTATGCTCTCTTATTGCTCAGCCCTAATTGCTCAGCCCCTCATGGCAAGGGTGGGCAATATGATGATATTTTATTGTTATGGTGATAAATTACATCACAATACGCTTTTCTGAGTATATTCAGGATATCGACAGTACTTAAAGTCTGTCTAACTATATGTTTCATTACAAAGTGAGCATCATTGGGCCTGTTGAATTGGATTTAGCGCAAAGCAGTTTGTAAAACATTTAATAAAATCACTGTAGTTATTATAGTATTTTTATGTGCCATTACAGGTTCTGTTTCATCTGTTCCAACGTGTTAAATGTCAGAAAAAGCAAAACACTGTCACAAATACTGTGTATCGTGAAAATGTCTTGAAGTATCATGATATTTTTGCCATATCGCCCACCCCTAATTTATAGACCAATAGAAATGGTCCAAAATGGCTTCTAATAAAATCTTATTCCACTCATTTAAACTGAAAGTTAAGAATGTTTTTCATTTTCCTGCATTTTTTTTTCAGAGATGTGAGAGATGTGATATCCTCCCGCTCTCACCTTCTGCTTTGGTTCGCGCCTCCCTCCCCGCTCCCCCCGGCGAGTCTCTGAGTGGTCCGCTCCAGTGTCTGTGGGGGGAGGTGGTGTCGCAGCTGCCCTGGCTGTAGCATCGTGTGAGGGGGGGTAGGCTGTGGCTCTGAGCCTCGGGCAGGTCCTCCAGGATGGGCGAGAACTCACCAGAAGACGAGTGCGAGTGGCTGGAGGACGAGGCCTCAGCTGCGGCGGTCTTTTGAGAAGGCGACCCCCCGCCCCCTCGCCTCTTGTTCCTCGCGATTTCGGCGAAGGAGGTGACGCGGGGTGGAGGGGGTGGGCTGGGGGCGGTGCCCTCGCTCAGCCGGACCGGGCAGCTTAGCATCCGCTCCAGCGAACCCAGCCGAGGAGGCGGAGACTTGTTCAAGTTGCGGTCGTAGCTGCGGGAGCGCAGGCGAGCCCCGGCCGAAGCTCCGCCCATAGGTGGGGAGATGTTGACATACACCTGTCCCTCGATCACGTTGGGCTGAGCGGGGCCGATCTCAGCCACGGCAGGCTCCGCCTCCTCGTTACTCTGCTAATTAATGAGAAAGAAGAGAAAGGTTTTATGATGTGACTTCACACTCATCAATTCCTTCAATACTAGTAACTGAAGAGCTGGGACCATTCATTGATATAACGATGATTACTGAAAACTGCCATGCGACTGATACGTGGAATCAGTGTTTCTTTCCTTTCATGTGAAAGCACTCGGAGCTCTGATCCATGGTCTAAAACTTGGACCAATCAGTGTTTTTGGGGCTGATACCGATCACCAATCGCCTTTCAGCATGATCAGCCACCAGCCGATACTGACTGATCGAAGGCGGGGCTGGACTGTTAAGGCCTTTTCAAAGTACGATTTTTTAGAATCTTTTAAGCACTGCAACTAACTGGGTACATCCTGCTCAAGTCCCACCCCCTCTTACAAGAGTTACAGCTGCATAACGAGCGATTCTGCAGGTATTTCCAAAGGTCAGTGGGGGATTTCGAGGCTCTGCTTCTGCTTGTTGCTCCTCTCACTGAAAAGGAGTGAATGAACTCTGGTTAAATGCTGTCGCTGTAATATACTGACCATTATTCATAGCCTTTCAGCTCTCGTCCGCCATATTTTGTCTTTAACCTCTCATTTTTCAGTCAGCATTTGCTTATCATATAAGCTTTTGTGCTCTGCTCCAAAATGTAGCCTTAACTGCTGCACCTTTTTAAGGTGGAACAGGAAAATTCAAACAAGAACCTGAGGCACACGAATGTAGTCCAGCTGCTGCACCTTTTAAGGTGGAACAGGAAAATTCAAACAGGAAGCTAGTTGAAAAAAAGATCTGGTTTCGCTTAATTGAGAGTTGAAATACATGAAAAGGGATGAGGAGGTCGCTCCTGCTGGACAGCTGGGCAACATTCATTCATTTTTTGCTGTTTCACAGAACCAGTAGGTCAGTATTGTTTTGTTCTGTTTGCGAATGTTTGTTATACCGATTGGTCAGCTTCACAGCAGAAACTGTAGTGACAGTTTGCTAACCCACATCCTAGCTAACGTTAGCTACATTACTTGCTGTGTCGTTGTTCACTCTAACATTATATCATGGTATTTGTCTATAAATTGCTTGCGAAGGGTTTTATGGACATACAGATCTAAAAAGCGTGTTTTGGGCTCGGCAATGCTGGTCCATGAATTTGGGGGCGGAGCTTCAGAAGGAGCACTGAAGGGAGGGGTGTGTTTGTTTTGCTGTTGAGTTCAAATATCAATAATCATTCTCCAGAATCATACAGTAATCACCACTACTTTATGGGCCGCCTGAAAGGTTTTCCTATCTTTTCATCTCTCGACTCAGAGTGTGTCCACTGCACAGAAAATAATGCTACTGGACAGAATAAATCAAGATCACTGCACTGCAAAGAGCAGCAGAGACAAAGACAGAATCAGGACAGCTGTCACTCCTGCAATTTAAAAACCCCCTTTATTGTGACAGCAGTCTTAAATATGTGGGAAAGCCTCGTAATGTATCCTAAGCAGCATGGAACAGTGATGCAGACAGACCGAGACCTTCGTGACCGCTTTACAGCCGCAGCAGATGGCACTCTAACAGCCCTGACCACATTCAGACCTCCCACACTCAGCCAAGGTCAGTACAAGGCCAATGAAAACATACAGCATCCTAAAATATCATAACTAATCTTATTTCTTTTTCAAAGCTACTGGTGTCCTCGCTGATGAGGGCGGTGCTCTTACTGACTGCAGACTTCAGTTCTGGATTCAAACAGAACTAGAAGGCATTTTCTAATGTTACTAACACAGCCATTCCACAGGTTCTTAAAGAGTTCTACAAAATTGACCATTTAATGTGTAATCAGAGAGATTCAGAGTGGTTTGGTGTGAAATGGTTCAGATGTCTTTACAGTGGTGGTGATAGGAACCAGGGGTCGCCATGACTACAACACAAATATAGACATTTTATTTACTATCAAAACCACCAGTGAACCTACACGAGTCTTCTGAGTTTATATGGAATGTTGATGGGAAAATAGTGGAAAATCTGAAATAATACATTTTCTTCGGGGACTATTTTGCCTCACAACCTCCTGCATGTATCCCTCCACCACAAAAGGATTTTTGGTGGAGGGATACATGCATGAAAATCTACTCAAATACATCATAAAACAGAGTCTCTGACATCAGGCAGTGAATTCATAACCATTTCATGTAGTAACTTTCTGTGAGGGAGCTTTTAGAGGTGGACGTCTGGTTCCTATCACCACCACTGTGAACCAATTTGAACCATTTCTCTAGAATGAAGCATTTCACACCAAACTACTCTGAATGACTCTGTTTACGTTTTAAATATTAATTTATTGAAAGAAAATGAAAGTAACAGTAGTGCCCCTAGAGTCAGCGCGCTCTGTTCTGGGACGAAAACGGAAGCAGGCTATTGAAGGTGTTGTATCAAGCTTTTTAAAGTAAACACCAACAACAAAAGCACACTTGTTTTTCGGCTCGTTTTTGTAGCTAATTTCCGAGCAAGAGCGCTTTAGTGTGCTTCCTGAAAGCTTGGAGGGAACGCTTGAGGAGGAATTCCAGTGAATAGCCGGTTTCCACCTGTAGATCGGGGCCAAGATCAGCTTGAAAGAAATAAAATACCGCATTGAGCTGCAAATGCAGGAACACTATTCAGATCAAGCTTGTCATGATCATATTTAGCTGAAAATTAACAGCCATATAAATAATTGTGATTAACAATTTCACTTATTTACATTCATTGTATGCAACAAGCCTAGCTGTCGTCAGCACATGGATGTAGTGTAAGTTAGCATGGCTGAAAAGTCTCACGTGTGACGAACACATTATATGAGGTAAAAATAAACATCAACTCTTACAAGAGAAAAACAGCTCCATTAACTTATCGATAGCATTCGATGGCTAGCTTGTTTTGCTTCTTTTATCAATTGCACTCCAGCTGTTAAAACAGCCAGGCTAGAGGAATTTGGGGGCGGGGTTTAGAAGGACACATCTGGCCCTACAAGACTAGCTTCCTAACCGATGATAGTTCCCAACTATCCCAACAGACCCTTTTTTGCTTTCTTTTATTTACATGTATTTGATTCAACCCAACAGAAGAAAATGCATCAAATAACACATCACTGTGAAAGTTAACAACCGTGAAAGGTAGAAGGTAGAAGTTGCAGTTGGTAAAAAACTTTGAAACTCTGGTTTTAAAAGTTGTTACTGTAAACATGCGTGATTGTGAGATCCTCCTGGTGTGGGTTCATTAGATGTTTCCTCTCTGAATGTCAAGCACAGATGTTTACAGTAGGAGAAATTTCAAACTGTTGAATGGAGTTCGCTATATATATTTTGCAGTGGCAGCCTGCTGCTTCAGAATGTAAAGAAATGTCATTAAGTGGCAAATATAAAACTCTGCAGAGGCCTTTTCATTTAAAACGATGGTTACAGCAAGTGGGCGAACATTGTGCAAACAGTCAGAGCCGAGTTGAGTCGAAGTGCCGGATGAAACGCTTGTCAGTCGAGCAGAATTTTGAGACTGGTTAACTTAGCACAATGCTTTTATGCTTTACTCTGTGCAAACCTGGTTACTTGTTCATTGTACTGTAATAATGCTTGCCAGCTAAGCAAAGAGGGCTACTGTTAAGGATGGTATATCTTGTTTGTTTACAACTTTACAGCAAAAAATATACTGAAAGAAACAGGTACAACTAATGGCCTGAGCTCTTCAGTCTCTGAACAGTAAAGCAAAAAAGTGGGAGCGAGGAGGGCGGTGGGGCAGGAGGGTCTGGGTCTTGTACAATATAGCAGAGATCTGGAATTTAGCTTCAGATGCCTTTGGGAAACCACAGAGTATTATACATTCATAATTATACAACATTATGAAAAAACATATTAAAACGCAAATAAAATAACTCCATTAATTTTATAGTTTTAGTTCGGCTGTGTCCTAAATTTTGCTTTCCGTTTTCAGCAAGTGTGTCCTTTCACTACCACGTTTATTAGGGCATGAAAAGCAAATGTATGTTACTCGGAGAAGTTTGATTCTTGTGACCCCTGATCAGGTCTTTACCTGTGTGAGATCTTTGTCTTCTGCTCGCTCCTCCTCCTCTTCCTCTTCGTCTTTTGTGCGTCTGAAGAGGAAGTACTCGGTGGGCTGAGTGGGACTCCCTTTGCTGTGTTCATCGGAGCAGCTGGTGACCGAGGACCCCGCAGGACTCGGGGACGACTGCGATGAGATGTCGCAGGTCACCAGCTTGTAGTAGTTCTGAGTGGCTACAACGAGCCGTGCTTGGCTCTGCAGACAGGAAGCGAGATCGTTGGCCGAGGTTTCAGAGAATAGCAGTCCTTCGCTCCCCAGGTGGTTGTGGTAGGAGTTGCAGTTAGCATCAAGCTCCATGGTGCCACTTTGGGGCTGGGAGGGGCATTGGCAAGAAGAGGAACAGGTAGGGTCTGCAGTTTCCTGGGTGGCTAGTGAGGGTTGGGGAGGTTCTGTTGGAGACCTGTGTAAGTCTAGGTAAAAAGCCCCACCCCCACTACTAAACTCGGTTCCGCCCATTCCTGGACCAGGCTCAGACACAGATGAGGTGCAAGACTGTTCTCCCGAGTTGTTGAGATTGACTGTCTGCTTGGCGGGGACTCCATTGTTCAACTTATTGTAGATGGTGCTGAAGTTGACAAGAACACCATCCGAGCTGTTGCAGGAAGAATCACTGGCATAGCCCAGCGGGCAGTCAGAAAACGGTTCGGAAAATGGTTCAGGATATGGCTGGGACAGGCCACAGCAGGAGCAGCGCTGCGCCGTTGAACTGGAACACTCTGAGCTTCCTCGACCTCCTTGCATCGACTGATCATCGTCATCATCATCCTCACCCCACTCCTGGTCTCCGCAGTCCATGGAAAGTGTGGAACCACTGCTGCCATGACGACGCTGGCCATCCAACCCCAGCAGGTCCAGGCCCTCTAGGCGGGCAGAAAAATCGAAAGCTCCTCTACTCCCTGGTGCCCCCCTTTGGCTGTTTGAACACCAGGGTTTCTCTAAAGACTCATGCAAGTGGAATGGCCTGGAGACACAGCCAAGCTCGTGCAGATGGAAAGGGGTCAAGTCTGTGCTGTTTTCCAAGGTCCCGTTTGAGTTCCCATGCAAGTGGAACGAAGAATCCTCTAAGTATCCATTCAGGTTGTGGCCATCATCGTCCTCATCTTCTTCGTAATCTTCATCCTCACCTGCATCCAGAAGGAAGGGATTGCGTCGGATCGACTTTGTTGGCAAGACCTGAGAAGGTGGATCTTCGGAATTGCTGGACGTGAAAGAAGAAGTGTCACTAGCCATGCTTCCGTCTCTCCCTCCACCTCCATCTCCTCCCCCTTTTTTATCTCCTCCTCTTAGCTCTTCGTCCTCAAAGGCGTCCCTGGAGCTGGAGGTCTGGATCAGACTGCTGTAGACCAGCGCCTCCCGCTGGAGGACGTCTCTCTCGGGCAGCGAGGTGGTGCGGCTGAGGCCAAGGTTCTCTGGGCAGCTGAACGGGTTGCTGCCTCTCCTCAGCGGACTCCCGCAGCACCGCTGCGATCCTGACACCTGACAGTGGACCAGGGGTATGTGGTGTACGATCAGGGTCTCTCCCGTCAGCTTTGGAGGGCTGTCCATCATCTCCAGAAGTGGGCCAAAATGGGGCAGAGTCTGAGCTGGACTGCTGAGTTGGCTGCAGAAGGTATAAGACGTTTAGTTTAGTCGTCTATTCCCAACGGGAGGTCGCAGGGAGTATGGAGTGCGACAGAAGAAGCTGAAGACATCATCTCGATGGAAAGAAAACATCTAGAAGTGGAAAAAGAGAGAGACAGAGAGAGAGGAAAAGACAGGGGATGTTAGTTGACAGGTAATGATAATTCCTCTCTTTCTGAATGTTTTATTCCACTAAATTCATTGTGTGAAATGATTTGATGAAATTAAATGAGTTTGAGCTTGATAGCTTGATGTTCCTATGTAGCCAGCTTCAGTAAGCTTTCTGTTTGCTTCTTCAGACTAGAGCTGGGCGATATGGCCAAAAATGTTATCACAATAAACAAAATTCATATCGTTCAATATCGATATATATCGCGATAAATGTCAATTCATTATTTCTTTCAAGTTTGAAGGCTGATTTTTGCTCCTGGGTGGTTAATCGCTGTTTTAAACTATCTTTTATGGTCCGAACACGACAAACACTCACCAAACAGTGGAACATTTCACAAATCTGTCATGGGACAGTGGGAGAAAGTTTAAATCAGGGCTTTAACTGCATGAACCCACTTCTTTCTTTCACTTTCGTTGCTTGGAATGCACTCATACTAAAATATGACTGTCCGAGCGCTGTAACAGTGCTGTCGTTGTGAGGATTGTGATCGTAATTTATCGCTGCTAAAGCTGGTTAGGATGTATGGAAAGAGGTGAGTTCGCTGTAGGTCAGTACAGTTACACCACTGATCTCATCACTCACACTCGGTCACAGGACATAAGATCGCCAGTCACTCCACTCAAACAGGGAATATATAACTAAAGACTCATCTTACTCGTGGGCCCCCCTCTCTAATCGCCGAAAAACTCGGAAGTGCGCCCTCTCCTGGCGACAGCAGAGTAGTGCCGCTTTCCTTGCAGTAGAAAACGTTACCAGGGCTGTTGCTAGAACGTGGAAGTGTGAGAATGGTTTATTATATTGAAAATTTATCGAACATGTCGTATCGCTCTACCGAGGAAAAGTTATATCGCAATAATTATAATTATCGTTTTACCGCCCAGCCGTACTTCAGACTAATGAGCAGTTCAATCTGAGATTTTTCTTGGCCCTCTAGAGTTCGCCTTCACTTCCACAATTCCCCTTAACTGACATTTCTTGATGACATTTTGGACAGTGATATCTTTTTAATTTATTACACTCTGGAATCAGCTGACGATTCCTAATGGCCTTCCTAATTAGCCCTAACATGTCAGTTAAGGCCTAACAAGTTCACTAAGTTCTGGAACCTGGGTGTCCAAAACTTCGCACATGCCCACTTTTTTGTTTTAAGTAATTCAAATACAAAATAATTGTATAACATCTTTGCTGAAAAAAACTGATATGAGAACATACAAAGAGAAGCTAATTTGCATATCAAAAATCCTACTTTTTTTACTTTTGCTACTACCCAAAAATTTGAAAATTCTACAATATCCCTATAATAAACCACAACCGTCAAACCCCACATATACATGTGATTTTGCTGCTTTAATGAACATATAACTTTATTAATATCAATTAATTGCAACTTGTTTATGGTATTGGTTTAAGGTCAGAGCCTGACTCCATCGAGGCTGGTCTTTATTCATTCTCAATGAGCTCCACATTGAGCTCCACAGTGTCTTTAGCACAATGAGCGCAGCATGTACAAAGGAAACAGGCAGCAACCTCACCTTTCCTGCCGGAAAACGACTGATATATATTTGATGCATTCTCAGCCTGGTATTGCAATGTTGCACTGCATCCAGATGACACTGCTGTTTACACATACAGGCTGCCATTTACTGTAAACCTAAAGTGAAAGTGTTTTAAAACAAGCCTTCAGTTTCACTCTTTCCATGCCTCAGTGTAACCTGCCAATGCTACGATGCAGGTTATTTACTTCACTGCATGACTGTCACTTCTGCACAATACCGAATCATAACTGTAGAAATTACACTAAAATAATGTTATTAACATGCCTGATGACACATACACAACCAACTGCACAACCACAAGCATGAACATGTACAGTATAGCCTGAGAGGTACAGCCTCCATACAGTGCTAACTACAGAAAGCATGCTCCACAGCACTTACAGCAAGCCAGCACTTCCAGTAGATCCCTTAATGTTGTTGCATTAATAGCGACTCCCAGAAACAAATAACCCTAAATATACATACATCCATTAATGAGTGGCACAAAACAGAAAGCCCCTCAGGGAACTAACAGAGGATGAAACTGATAAAAGGACTAAACTTTGGAAGTGTGGAGAAATATCTGTGCTGATTGCATTGAAAAACTGAAAGCAAGTTTCCTGACAAGCAGAACAGAGAGAGGAAAAAAGATAAAAAGAGAGAGAGAGAGAGAGAGGAGGGGGGCTGGTAAGGGTGGGGAGGTCGAGAAGACTCTACATTCTGTGAGCAGCTATTTCCTCTGAACAGATGATGTGGTCAGGAAAGGGGCCAAGTCATGGGCCAATCAGGCATGATGGCCCAACCCTGCATGGGCCAATCAGATGCCCTGATTATATAAACACACAGCAGGTCTGGGGAGTTTATCTATGAATAACACTCACATCTCCAACTGCACTTCAACATGGGTGAGTCCCTCTTGACTCTCTTCACTTACTGCACTTTTATTCTGTGCTGAATACATTAAATGCTGTTTCTTTTAAACCCTCACAGCACTGAGCGTCAATATAATGAACATTCAGACCACTGGAGCTGGTCCAGGGACTTCCGCACAACTCTGGAACAGTCAAAAGAGAGGTAATAAAGGGGAGTCCAGGGAATTCCAGCCGAAAAAGCCATTAGGTACAAGCTCTTTATTGGTCAGGAGATATTTCTGAGGAGGTTAGATGTAAGATAATCCATGCATAAGGAGGAACAAAATGAGTTCATTCACAGTAAACAAGACAACCACCGGGAAGACCTGTTAGACACCAAAACCACCCCCATCAGATAAACAGCACTTAAAGCTTTCATCTTTGAGAGAGAGGAGAAAATCAAGCTGCTTCAGATCTGAAAACATCCACAGGTGTTTCTGTCCATCCTTCCACTGTGAGAAGACGACTCAGCGCTGTGGGTCTGAAAGGATGTGTAGCTGTTCAAGAAGAACCTCACTGAGAAAAGGAGACGGATACATCAAACAAAGAAGCTGAACAATGGACTGACCACCCCAGAGTCCAGACCTCAACACCACTGAATGTGTTTGATTACTTCAGAAAATGATCAACCAGCTTCTAAGACTGAACTTTGGAGGTGTGTCTGCAGATTCTTTGAGGAATTGAAAGTGAGTCTTCTGAAAAGAATGGAAGCTGGAATGAAGGTGACGAGTGATTCACTGAACACTCAGACATGAGGTCTCTGTGCAATTTTCTGTTTTCTTCCTGACACTGAACAATAAATAACCTGTATTTAATGGCTGTTTTGACTGGAAGGGTGGTATATTATAATACTGCATCTTTTTCCAAAAAGGTGGACATTAAGTTTATTAGAAGCTTCTTAGTGTTTTACAGTTACTCAGTCATTTTAGAATCTTCTACAGTTCTATTCTTTATTCTGGACTCATCTTACATTTAAAACTTTTAAAACCTTGTGGAGTTTCAGTACCATATTATATTCAGTGCGTTCATTAACCTGCCACCAAACAGGTTTATTACTGAAAACAGTGATTCCAAACTGTTGACCACCTCGTCTATGGACTCTGAAAGTCTGTCCGTTTCCTGACAGGGGTCTCAGCGTCCCACGCTCTGGCTGAAGAAGACGCAGGCAGGATGGAGAGGTTTAAAGACTCCATCAACAGAGCCGCAGGCAGTACAGGGATTGATCCGGCCGTCATCGCTGCCATCATCTCCCGAGAGACCAGAGCAGGAAACTTCTTACAGTCGGACGGCTGGAACGAGGGAAGGGTCGCGTTTGGGATCATGCAGGTTGGTTAACTTATTTACTTCTTTACTTAATAAAAACTGCAGCATTGTGGTATTTTTTCAAAAACTCAATGTATTATCAGTTGCACACTGTAAACCATCAGGATTACTCTAAAACTGTTACCATGGTGCGACTATGAGGCTGCTGCATGCTGAAAATCATCAGTGATTATGCTACAGTTGGTTCTACAGTCAGCATGGTGTGACTTTAAAGCTCATGTTGGTTTCTCGTGCTATCTCAGGTCGCTAGAGTTAACAACCCGCAAGGTGGAAAGGACAGTTTGGAGCACATCAAACAGGCTGCTGGTCTCCTTAGAGACTTCATTAACAGCATGAACAAGTCATGGCCTCCTGAACTCCAGTATAAAGGTACCTCATGTGTTGTTCATGATGATTTTCATAGCATAATATCACATCCATTGCTAAGTAACTGACGCTTTCTCCTGGTTTTGTAAAAATCTTTTGGTTAAAATCATAAAAAATGAGCCTTTAAAGCACTGTATGGACGGGATTCGTTTTCCATGAGGAGCTGGGTAATGCCAGTTTAGCACAGGACGTCTGTAATGTTTATAACCAATTTGTATGAGATAAGAAATCTCAGTCTAAATGATTGAGATGGGTGTGTTTGCTTGATTTATCCACTGCCTTCGCTCCAGAAAAGAGTAGAAAACACACTAAAATATTTCATTTATTTGTTATTCCATTTACGGTAACTATCCACTTTGCTGTCTTAAGAAAACGACACGAGTCTTTAGCATCACCACTAACTGGGAATTCACAGCCAACAGTCAACTTCACTGCATAAAATCAAACTTTTTCCTGTAATTTTTGCAGTTTTGAGTTTGATGTGTGGACAATACGCATAACCTTGATTTTAGCTTCAGAGAACAAGTAAACACTTCACTGAGTGTCTCAATACTTAAACTCCTTTTCCACACAATAAAATAGCGTTTCACCAACATGTCAATTAGTCCAGGGTTAATAATAACCTGGTTCTTGATATGAGGTTCTTGATAATGAAGGTCATTTGTCCAGATTAATCTCAGAGTCTCCTCTTCTGTAGGTGGGATCGCGGCGTATAACTGCGGCCCCAGAGCCGTCACCTCTCAGAACGTGGATGAGAAAACAGAAGGAGGCGACTACGCGAACGATGTTGTGGCCCGAGCTCAGTGGTACAAACGCCAGGGTTATTAATCGGAGCGGTCATCCTTCCCTGCATCGTCCTGCTCATCATCGCGAACCATGTTTACTTTGAAATGGGATGCAACACAATTTCAACTGAATAAAAGAACTTGATAAAATATGATTTATTGTTTTCTGACAGTCTATTATTATTCTTGTAATTCAAAATTTCATGCACCCAACTTATATCACAACAATACAAAATCCAGCACCCTTGTTGGATACCAAAGTGACTGCTTAGCCACATCCTAGCAACCACCTGGCACATCACCTGGAAATACCATAGTGACCACCTGGGACACTGTAGCATCAACTGAGCAGCACCCTAACAATTACCAGGAATACCACAGCAACCCACTAGCAATCACCTGGAATACCACAGCAACCCCCTAGCAACACACTAGCAACCAACTGGAATACCACAGCAACACCCTAGCAACACACTAGCAACCACCTGGAATACCACAGCAACCCCCTAGTAACACACTAGCAACCACCTGGAATACCACAGCAACACCCTAGCAACTGTTATGCCTTGTGTTTTTGCCTGGTCTTGTGTGTTTTGTATTCATTCCAGATTCCATCCCGTGACTTCACCCCTTCCGCTCCCGGACCCTGCTGATCCATTCCATTCCATGGTTTCCTCTCCTCCCACCTGCTTAAAGAGGTCCGGATGGCTTGGTTGAGCAGGAGACTTCCTCGTTGTATTGCTGTTGTTTTTGTGTGCATTTCGTTACCCTTGAGTCCTTGCTTGTTACTGACCACTGCTTTGTTTTGACTACGATTTAGCCGGACCCTAAAACTGTATATATCTTATATATATTTGTAAATAGTAAATGTGAACCGGCTGTAGGGAGTGGCTGCCATTTTGCTTGGGAAAGGGTTTGTCTGTGTGTATGGTTAGTCAGGGAGGTAGGTTAGCATACTGTCTTTTGTTTCTTTTGTTTGTATGTAGGGTAGGTAGTTGTGTTGGAAAGTTAGTGTGGGGTTGTTTGTTGTTTTGGCCTGGGCCATTCCTGACGTTGTTGCCGGTGTGTTACAAACAACAGATATGAGAAAGCAGAATTTTTAATCAGTGGTTTCACTTTCATTCTGCCTCCTGCGGACGTCTGCAGGGCACACCCGACCGCATTATCCTCAAATAGAAAAGAGCAGTGTTGTAGAACAGCACTCAGAGAGAGAAAGAGAAAAAGAGCACATCTGCCGCTGAACGGTAAGCTGGAATCTGCCTCAATCTTCAAAGCTTTAGAAACAAAAAGTAAACCTAACTCTAGCTGAGTGACTTATCAGTTTATAGTGATGCCTTGATATTATACCAGATACATAAAAACATATATTATGGTAATGTTAAACGTTATGAATTAAACAATGTATTTTTAGCTGTTTTTAAGATACTAAATCGCATACAGCATGATAATTGTGAACCAAGGATTTAGCTTCTAAAAGACAAAGAGATTTAATGAAAAATCTTAACAGACTGTTTTCTTTTAGGTTGTCTTACAATGGAACACGAGAGAATCTTTAGCATTTTGGCATCTGCTTCCCGTCTACATGCAGGTAAATGAGTTAAGATTTAACTGTATGATAGACTTTAATGGTGCTATTACTTTTTAAATGAACTACCACTGTCATACATCACAGACTGAGCCTGATGTACATACGAGTGTACATGCACTACACAATGTGCCTTGATGCACTCACAATGCATCTGAAATCAAGGGTCAATTTACTAAGAATTTCATCTAAACTGGGCTAACAAGATCCCACTTATAATCCCGGTTCATGATGAAGCGAAGTTTGTGTGAGATGAGCTTAATCTGCATTTGAAGTTATGGCTTGACTGATATTCATACTGGCTGATATTACAGTCCTGAGGATTCACTGATATTTAGTAGCTTGTTTTATATTGTAAAAACACCTCTGATGTTGGAAAACTAGCCTTTAGCTTGGAAATAGAATTACAATACAACAACTTTCTTCTGTGGAGAGAACTGATGAAAAATAGGAGCTAAGTAAGAGAAACAAGCAAACTGCTAAGAACTCTGGGAAACTAACTGCATTGGAACATTGGAATAGTGCAATACTAGTGCATATTGTGTATATGTGTATATTCAGAGTCGGTGTATATATATTTCTTTTTCTTCTTAGACATTTATATATTTTTAAATATTTTTTTAAATTCTATAAGGGGGCTACGCATCTAAGATTTCCACTTACTTTCCACCTGTGTAAATGTGATGCGACAACAAACGTGATTTGATTTGATCTGATTTGAAACTCCACCCTCTTGTGCAACAATATTTATATTGTTTGAGATAGGAGTGCGCTCGGCTCGGCTCGGCTCGGCTCAACTCGCTTTTGGTACCAACTACTTCATTTTCCACTACAGATATAGCCAACCAAAAAAAGCGAGTAAAGTCAAGTCGAGCCGGTACCATCCAGTGGAAAAGTGCCTAAATGATGTGAGACCAGATACTATTTGTGGTGGAAAAGTGGCTTTACTGTTCATGCAACTATGGGAGGTAAATCCAGCCAAAAAAGAAATTAAAATTAAAACCATAAAATGTAAATGAAAACCTCTTTTTGCCATTTCTTTTTCCAAACTTCTGCGCAAATGTCCTGCCAAAATTGAAAATGAAATGAAATGCCTACATTTGCTATCTTATTTTCACATGAGCGCGAGGCATTTGTGACAAAAATAAAAATAAATGTAAAACAGCTATTAGTCATTTCATTTTAGTCGTTATTCTGGTTTTTCATGGCCAAATCTAAAATGAAAAAGCTAATAGAGGAAAGAAAATCCAAGCTTCACATTGGCTTTGGCTTTTCTTCATGAAGTGCAGAATACGAGTCAAAACTAAAACCAAAATGCAGTGTTTACATTGTTATTTCTTTTTCACAGCGATCGGCTGCAGATCTGACAAAATGAAAATGAAAAGGCAAAACTGATAAATCAACAGCAAAGTGACGGTTTGCTCTTTAGGTGTCAGAATGAAAAGGCACATGCAAACAAACATCAGCGCCACCTGCTGGACATTTACTTTACATTTTCCACGTTTCGATTTCGTTTTCAAACTGACCAACATGCAAATCTATGTTAATTAGCACTGGGCGGGGCTACGGGGTACATTTTAGGACATCCTCAGACCTCAGAGTCAGAGCGGCATCATTCCTCAAGCTAAACGACTTTGAGTCTCGAGAAAAACCATCGTCATGACTCAGATCTGGTGAAACTGAACGTCAGCACAAACACCGTCAGAAAAATCTGGAAATGTTATACTGGCATTGATATCGAGATACATAATAGTTTTCTACGTTATATGAACCAGTCTATGCTCGACCAGGCCTGCGTTTGGTCTGACACCTTTTCTCTGAGGCCGTTTGGTCTGACGGTGTTTGTGCTGACGTTCAGTTTCACCAGATCTGAGTCATGACGATGGTTTTTCTCGAGACTTGAAGTTGTTTAGCTAAAGGAATGATGCTGCTCTGACTCTAACCATCTCTGATTTTATGCCTGTTGGTGATTAGTGATTTCACAAGCTTCCTAGATTTTTGCATTACATGTTCAAATTGTTATACAAATTCATAGAAACCGCCATCGGTGTGAAATGAAGTCACTGCTGTTAGATCATTACTGATCCAACATTTTTGAATTAACTGTTCAATATTACAAAAATCCCTTTGTGTAGAGGGTAATGACATACTCAATTATTATTAAATTTGGAGAAAAAATAAAACTCATATGCATAAGTTTAATTAGCAAAATCATAAATAAAGCAAAATAAATCTTTTTCATTACAAAAGTTCTCATCTGCAACTTTAATAGTATGTATCAGGTAAATAAGTATATAGAGTACTACACAAAACTCAGAGATTAGATATGAGATAATCCACTTCCACAAAGAAGGAGAAAGTCAAAATAAAAAAAACAGGAGTTTCCAAAACTGGAGTTCAAAAACTGATGAAAAGCTATAGAGAAAATGTGTCTCCTAACAACCACTTGGAAGACCTGTTAAACACCGAAACTGCCCCCATCAGATAAACAGAGGAGAAAATCAAGCTGCTTCAGATCTGAAAACATCCACAGGTGTTTCTGTCCATCCTTCCACTGTGAGAAGACGACTCAGTGCTGTGCCATTAGTTGTAATGTTTACAACATATATTTATATATATGAACAGTTGTCCTAAAAGAAGATACTGTTGTAGTTATGAATGGTACATGTGTCATGCTATGTAGACCATCCAGACCTGGAGCTTAACTTATAGAAATAATTGAAATCTTTGTCACAAAATTTGCAGTTATTTTCTTTAAATCTTACAGGAATCAATCTTAGAGGTTCTGAGTCGTCAGGTGAGATTTTCCACAAATTTCACAGCTTCAGAAATAAAATCCAAACTAAATGATTACAGAAGTGATTTCAGGTTATACTGATTTTATTGTTCTAAGTATTTCAATCCTTTTGTCATGTCACGAGTTGTAATCCATTTTCATTTCATTTGATTCATATCATGTAAGAACAAGGTAATGTTAGACATGTCATGCTATGTAGACCATTCAGACCTGGAGACCTGGAATAATTTAGATAATCACATAATCATTTGCGTCATTTTGGTCAGTAAAAGTGCAATATTTTCTTCAAATCTTTAAATCTCAGATGAAGAGGACGAGGAAGATGGACATATAGTGTGCCAAGGTAGGGTGATACTTTCCACAGACTTCACAGCTCCAGAAATAAAATGAAATGATTATGTGAGTGATTAAAAAAATTTAAATTCATTTTATTCTACAATTTTCTTTTTTCCTTTGTGTTCATGGTATTCATGTTTACTCTGTTAAATGTACTTTACAGGCAGCTAATTTTACCTTACCTTGATGATTACAATCTTTACACAAGCTGAATTTGTAAAATACTCTACTGTCAGGCTTTTTAAACAGTGGAATTCCATGATTTTTTCATGACTTAAAATGAAACTTCCATGACAAACATTCAGCATAGTGCTGGGTGATATATCATTTATGCCGGTACACCGTGATACTTACAATTCTGTTTCCTGTTTTTTTTAGGAATATCTCTGAAAGGTAAGGACCACTTCATTTTGTTACTCATGGTATGCAAAGTTCATTAACTTTACTGATGTTAAACTTTAATATCACCTAATAACATGATACTGTGATATGTTTGAAAATCATATGATATTGAATTTGATCAGTAGCCACCCAGCACTGATTCAACAGATAGACAGCTGATCTGTGAGGAAAGAAGACCAACATTATCTAAATAATCATTTAATATTTAAATATTATTAGCTAGCAATTCGAAGTGCGGTTTATATGGAACGACTGGCAGTGAAATTGTGCGCATATCTGCACCAGGTTCAATAATACGACCTCAGAGAACGGATCTGTCATTTTGTTTCATAATTTCAGAGCCTACAGATTTTATTTTGACTCTTCAGTCACCCCATATTCTCACGCTCAAACATGTCAATCGGTCTCATTTGTAAAGATGGGTATAGTGTCTTTTTATAACACGTGACACACACATCGTGATTAGGTGGACATCATTCTCCATTACGTTGAGCTCCATATGATTCAAAATCAAATGAGTTAATGATAACAAAGACATGAACTGACTTATCTAGCTGAAGTTCAATCTGGGACTGATCAGTTTTACATGGTGTGGGGAGGTAATGTATTTATTAGGCTATCAAAGTTTTGCAATGATTTTGGTCCCATCCAAATCCGCAATGCCAGTGACTTTTGATGCAGTTTTTACAGTATTTATGAGAGAAATGTAACGAGAGTCACTTCACAACTTTGAGTACCCAGAGTACAACAGAGACTGTGTAAAATCAAATCAGTGAGAGAACCTCAGCAGCTGGCTCGCATTAATGTAGCTGCAGCATGTGATGTTTGTTTAGCCGCGGCGGTGCAGACTGAGCATGGTGATACTTTTGGAGCAGAGGGTCCTGTGAACCTGAAGCGAACACGTGGTGATTATTGTAGTGCTTCCTTGCTAGTCATGCAAGCCTTGGTGTGAAGCAGCAGTGATGTGTTTCTCCTCTTATGTTTGGCTTGTTAATTCATCTTCTCCTGTGTTTAAATGTCAAAACGTCTTCCACAACGCACACGTCCTGAATATTACACCTCAGCTAGCCGAGATTCATATTAACAGCATGTTAGTAAAGCTAGTCCACATGCAGATACATTCGTCTCGGTGCTTTTTGCGATCTAGACTGTTCAGTGCTTCAAATGAGATGAATTGCTAATCCCACGATTTCTCCAGCATTTATTATTTTCAATGACTTTTCCAGGCCTGGAAAACCAAATTTCTATATTCCATCACTTTTCCAGGATTTTCATGACCACAGAAACCCCGCACTGAGTACTTATTAATGGAGACGCTTTAATAATATCTTAAATGAATTCATATATTAACATAAATCCAACATTATTCATTTTTCTCTTCTTGATCCGTGTATAACCTTGTGTTGTGCAGAGGTACTTTGCTTTTTTTGATCTGTTTTTTCTGTTCTTTTATTTTCACTTTTATTTTAATGTTCTGCTAAGTTGTGCAGTTTTACTAACACAAGATCCACTGATGAAAAACAAGATTCAGCTACTAAAAGACCAAAAAGTTTAGCTGGAATAGTAAAAAAAAAAAACAAACTGAACAAATGTTTTTGTTTTAGTTTCTGCTGAAATGGACACTGAGGATTTCAACATAGAGGAGGTGGCTGGCCTGGGCAGACCCTTCCAGCTCGGCATGGCTTATGATTTAAGAAAACACAAACTCCTACCAGGTACTGAATTAGGATTCAATGACAGCAGCGGAAAGACAAATACACATAAAAGCTGGCAGTACATTTCAAACAGAAATAACACTACAAAACAATAGCTTTTTAGCCAAAACACAGTGGTTGTTTGAGTTTGTACAGTGTGGCTGTGATGCTTACTTAAAAGAACTCCTCACCATCGTATTGTTTGTTCTGAGACCTCCCCCCCCTCCCCAACTATGACTGGCCCTAATGACCATGTTGGATGTTCTGAGACCTCCTCCCCCTGACTATGATTGTCCTTATCAACCATGTTGTTTGTTCTGAAATCCCCCCGACTATGACTGGCGCCAACCATGTTGTTTGTTCTGAGACCCCACTCCCCCGCCAACGAAGACAGGCCCTAATGACCCTGTTGTTTGTTCTGAGACTGACCCCCGCCCCGCCGACTACGACTGGCCCTATTCACCACGTTGGTTGTTCTGAGACCCCCCGCCCCCGGACTATGACTGAAAGTATTGACCATGTTGGTTGTTCTGAGACCCCCCCTTGACTAAGACTGGCCCTATTGACCATGTTTATATTTTTTAGCCTATCCCACCCCCCGCCCCCTGAGTACAATGATGCAAGTACATACTTTTTGTCTTATTAAATATTCCTGTAGTCACAGTACTGTACACCCTGTTTTATCAATTGTTACTCATTGCTTATTATCACATTTATCAAAAGTTATTCCTGTTCTTGCACAGGGCTAACCTTGTGGGATTATGAAGGACTTCAGAAAAAAATTTGTGTCAGTGACCAATATGACACCAAATTCAACCTCTTGTCCTCAGACAGCAGTGACGATAAGACATCTACTCTGAAGATAAGTTCCTACCTGAAAATCGCTGCACTGTGCGGACTAGTGGACTTTAGTGGGTCATTTACATATTTTACAGATGAGAAAAAGTCTGAAAAGCAGGCAAAGCTTACGTTATCATACCACGCAACCACAAAATTCAAGCAACTCTCCATGGACCACCTGACTCAGATATCTTACTTGAGTGAGCTGAAAGGAACTGGAGCAACACATATAGTTGTAGCCATCCTATATGGCGCTGATGCTTACTTTGTGTTCGAAAGAGAACTAGATTCACACGAAAACAAGTGGGAGCTGGAGGCAGAGCTAAAACTCACCATCAAGAATATTTCGTCTTTAAAGCTAGACGTTAGCGGTGGAGGTTCAGGGGAAAAGAAGGACAGTGACAAGCACAAGTTTGAAAAAATAAGCTGCACTTTCCATGGGGATTTTAAGTTAGAATCAAATCCGTGCACCCTTCAAGACGCATTACAGGTGTACACAAAACTTCCACACATGCTCGGAGAGAAAGGGGAACATGCAGTTCCGCTCCAGGTATGGCTCTATCCTCTCTCCAAACTACCCAAGTCAAGACTGGAAGAATCAGACTGTACCGTCAGGGAAATAAGTGACAGTCTTAACACACGCATGTCACAAGCCATCGATCGTTTGAATATGATAGAAGGGAAACTTAATGACCTCATGAACGATGAAGCCGCCAAATCCTTAGCTTTATTTCACTGCAAACTTCAGGATCTGAAGCAGAAATTCGCTCAGCACAAGGCAGACTTCATGACGAACCTCGCTCATCTGCTGCCTCTGATTCGTGGGTATGAAAAGGAAGAAAGTGACCTTGATGATCTCCTGCAAACTTATGAGGATTCCCTGTTCAACAGTCCTGCGATGGACCGGTGGTTAGAGTACAGAAAGATGGAATCGGACGTGCTAGGAAGCTTCTTAAAACAGCTGCGAGAGGCCGGGGTCGACCTGGACGAAGATCTTCACATTCTCCTGTCGGACGCAGAAATCGAAAATGTGGTCAGTTTCACCTTCACATCTCTGGATTTGCCAGACAAATTCCTGTCAGATCTTGCGAAACCAGATGAAGGTGAGAAAAAGAAGACACCTGATGAAATTCAGACGTGGTTAACAAGAGGCATCATTAAGACAATGAGAAAGAACCTGAGCTTGTTCAAAGACCTGAAGAGATCCAACAACGACAGACACACAAAATTCAACGTGTCCTCCCAGAACAACCTGTTGATCAGCGATAGAAGCGCAAGATCAAGCCACCACAAGATCCACCCTGGAACATGCATCATGTTGTACGAAGGAGGGTCAGATGAACCCATCTGCTTTACCCCTCCAACTAAACCTGTCTTCTCAGCCACTATCGATTCGAGTTCCCGCAGTATAATAGTGAAGTTGAACCCCAAATGCAGGGCCACAACGAAGCGCACGCTGGAGTACAAGCCGAGGACGAAGGAGGGGTGGAAAAGTCTGGCTGTTCAGAGGGATGAAGAGAAGTTGACAAATCTGGAGTCTGGCAGCGAGTATGAGATCAGATGCACTGCAGTGGGCAAACTGGAAGAGTTACCAGTCACCAGTGACATCATCAGCGTTCGCCCCTCAGACACCCTTGAAGGGACGGAATAAAGAATAGACAAAAGGGAAGTGCCCAACAGACGGGCTACAGCATGTAGACATTATTAGATGCTAGGCCACAGGTTCCCAGTCCTGGTTCTGGAGTACCTCCTACCCTGAACATTTTAGTGAGTGCCCTCCTACCAACACATACACAATGTCTTGTTAATGAGCTGATTACTTGGATCAGGTGTGTTGGGAGCAGAAGAAACACTGAAATGTGCAGGGCAGGGGGTTCTGCAGGACCAGGGTTGGGATCCACAGGGCTAGACTACAGCTAGATGCCTGCCTATATACCGAGATGCTATATCACGTACCTCTGCTCCTCTGACACATAAGCCTGCCTGCCCCCCACAAATTCCAAATTCTAAATTTTTGTTGTGTCTAACAAGAGTGTGCTGCAGATGTAGGCACCAGAGGTGTGGACTCGAGGCATTTGACTTGGACTTGAGGCTGACTCGAGTCACGAATTTGATGACTTTAGACTCAACTCGAGAACATTGAGAAAGACTTGCAACTTGACTTTGACTTGTATACCAATGACTCTGACTTCAAAGTTAAGACTCGGAAAGACTCAAGAAAGTGGAAGAAACGTGGAGAGTCTGACTGCAGACGGGACTCTACAGAGTCAGTTACTTTTCATGTGAACTCTGTTCAGCTCTGTTGTTTTCGTTTCCAATGTCATTTAAATTCAATTCAAACGCCATTGGTTTTAGTTGGCTGAGCTGTTTTAGCGCTAAGCTAGTTTTTATTTTAATCCAGTGTGCCCAACGTCTTCAAACATAAAGTTTTTTAAATTAAGTCCAACAGTACTTTTAAAACTCTTTTCATGTGTAGTGCACTACTCTGTGTATACCAGTCTGTCACGCACTCTTAAGAAGGATGGTTCTTCAAAAAAGAACCAGGAACACTCAAAGAACACTCTGCATTATTAAAGGGTTTACTGCCTCATCTTAAATTAGCTGAAGAATGCAGACTGACTTTAGGACTCAAAGATTAGGACTACTGACAAGGCACAAGGTACAGGAGACTCTCCTGTACTGACTCGGGACTTGAATCGAGACTCGACTATCGGGACTTGACTCAGGACTTGAGTGTCAAGATTTGAGACTTACCTGTTACTTGCAACTTACTGACTTGTTCCCACCTCTTTTAGGTACTAATATGCATGTATTCTGATGTAGGCAAAGTATTGCAATGTTGTTTGCTTGACATATATACTCACCTTCATTTTTGTGCCATTATTATATTATTTGTTTGTTCCATTATTTGCATGTTGGATCAGTTCATAAGAATGTACCAATTCAACATACCTTAATGTATCAAGTTGTATCACAGATCACGTCATATCGTATCATTGTATCGTGAGCATGTACTGAAATAAATGCACCAATCGAGACATCACTGTGTCGTGTCAAATAATGAATTTTGTGAGTCATCACATCCCTATTAATCAAATACAATGAAATATAAATACTTAGGGGAAGTGTAGTATTATTAGATATATTCAGTCTATTTAAACACCCATTTAAACCCATCTGTGTCCTCTTTATGTCAGAGCTTGGTCCACTTCTTTCTTAAAATTATTACCCATATCACCCCACTCATTTCACCATTTTGCATAACACATATCATGTGAATGTTGTTTTCTGCATTTTCTGCCTACTTTGTGAAGTCTTTGCACTGTGTGTACACAGTGTTGTGTGTGTTATTAGTAGGGGTGCTGATTCTTAGACGCATCGCGATGCGAACATGGACGATTCTGAATCGATTCACAAATGTCAAAAATTGATTTTCTAAATATTTAATTTATGACGTAATGTTGACGGAACGCAAAAGGCGGAACTTTGAAGTGGGTAAGTGCAGCGCCCGGACAGTCTGTGGCGGCACATAACAAAAACACTACTGGATGAGTGAGAAATCCGACCGGCTCCCTCTGCATTAAAGCCAGGTTAGGTCAGGAGTCACAACACAAATGTTAAGAAGAGCCATTTTGTCCTTTCAACAAAAATCAACCTACCTTGGGAGCCACAACATTTAATGTCTAATATGTATCAGTATGTGATAATGTGCAAGGATAGGCTAAATAACATAAACGAAAACGCAGACTTACTTTACTCTGCTTTAAGCTTTAGCTATAGCCGCTTTCCTCCCATCTCCGCCAGAAAACTTTTCCTCAAAAGTAGAAGTTTCTTGTAAAATGTCTCTCAACATTCGGCTGTTTTATGAGGCTGAAGTCGCTTCTTATTCTCCAGCTTCTTGTTCAAATTTTCTCGTTCCACCTTAAATTCTGCCTGAGGCAGCAGAATGTAAATGCGGCACCATTTAAGGTGGAACGGGAGAATTCGAAAGAGAAGCAACTTCATCTTCGCTACTTTTTAGTGTTTAACAGTCTCTCATTGCTGGTTTAACATTCCAGGAAACCAACTGCGCTTATAAACGCGAATAAGTCCGTTTGTCTCCAAATGTTCATCTTAAATCTCTTTGCCTTTCCGATCGTTACTAACCAGCTGAGACTGCATTGCTATGTGACCTGCAGTCTGCACGCCAGTTCTCAGTGGTTGAGAACCAGGGCTTTCGCGCTATGTTGCACACTTTGGAGATGAGATACAGCGTCCAGTCTCCAAGATATTTTACCTTGAGAGTCTTCCAGTTCACATACCACATCACTTCCATTTGATTTATTAATAAAAGATATTGGAATTGAATTCATTATGGATCATTACAAATACTCTGCTTTAACATTACCAAGTCCTCACACAGCGAAAAAAAGTAATCCTGTATAGAAACAAAGATGCATCAAGATGCATATAACATGACTGTATTGTGATACTATTGTGCTGTGATGATCACAGTAATATGATATCACAGTAATATATCATGATAATACTGTATCACTGTAGTACTGCATCAGTGTCATATCTTATCATCATTACATTATTAATACCATCATTACACATCATGGTAATATAATTTTGTAACAAAAATATCATTAGTAACATTCTATCACAATAATATATCACAATAATATCATATCACTGTAGTACTGTATTATGACAACATCGAATCATCATAATGTTGTATAGTGACAGTATCATATTGTGATGATATTGTGTCACAATAATATTGTATAGTTATAACGTCATATCACAGTATCACTGTGTCATTATTATATTGTATTGTGATAGTATCATATCCGGTGATATTGTATCATGATAATATCATACTGTGATAATATTGTATAACTGCAGTGTTGTACCATTATAATATGATGTAATAATCCTGTATTGTGATAATATTTTGTCACCATAACATTGTATTATAATATCACATGTCGTATCAGGGTGTTATTATACTGTATTATTATGATATCATGTCAGTATAACATCATATCATGATAATACTGTATCATGTTATTGCATCGTCATCATATCATACTGTAATAACACTGTATGGTGATTATACTCTACTAGGGGCAGGGGTCTCTGGTGATTCCCACCCGCAGGGAAAGCCATGCAGCAGTGGGTGTTGTTATTCCCACTCTACTAGAAATAGAGATGAGTCAGTGAGAAAGCAGTGAACGTATCCTCTCTCGCCCTCATTAGGAAAGGCCTCGACTGGCTGCTGTGAGACTAAAATACAGTGGGTTATTCATCTGTTCCTGAAACGTCCCACCTACTTCCCCTCAGTCTGGTCACCAGAAGAGTGGACAACACGACAACTACATAACATCATGATGCTTAAAGACATTTTCATGATATGTGACAGGAAAGGACAAAGTGAGTCAGCAAAACAGAAGAGCCACGTTTACAAAGGCTATAAGCACAAAGACGGCAGCTGAGATCCAATCAGCTACTTGTTACTATGCAGTTTATTCAGTTACTACACTGGCTGTTGTTGTTTACAGGCTCTGTATGATTGGTCTAAATCTGTCTTGCAGTCGCTCAGTGTTCTTGAAGTACTGACCTTAACCATCATACATTCACTAAAGAGTATCCTGACATAATTTATCACAGTAATGTTAATAAATGACCACGCTGCCCACCTGCAGGGCTCCAGGCCATGTTTAACAGAGCGGTGCTTCTTGAGAGAGAGGTGTGAGGCTGATTGTGTGTTCTGGTGAGAGGCTGATTGTGTATTCTGGTGTGAGGCTGACTGTGTGTTCTGGTGTGAGGCTGATTGTGTGTTCTGGTGCGAGGCTGATTGTGTGTTCTGGTGAGAGGCTGATTGTGTATCCTGGTGCGAGGCTAATTGTGTGCTCTGGTGAGAGGCTGATTGTGTGTTCTGGTGCGAGGCTGATTGTGTATTCTGGTGCGAGGCTGATTGTGTGTTCTGGTGCAAGGCTGATGGTGTATTCTGGTGTGAGACTGGTTGTGTATTCTGGTGTGAGGGCGATTGTGTATCCTGGTGCGAGGCTGATTGTGTTTCCTGGTGCGAGGCTGGTTGTGTATCCTGGTGCGAGGCTGGTTGTGTATCCTGGTGCGAGGCTGGTTGTGTATCCTGGTGCGAGGCTGATTGTGTATTCTGGTGCGAGGCCGACTGTGTATTCTGGTGCGAGGCTGATTGTGTATTCTGGTGAGAGGCTGATTGTGTATCCTGGTGCGAGGCTGATTGTGTGTTCTGGTGAGAGGCTGATTGTGTATCCTGGTGCGAGGCTGATTGTGTGTTCTGGTGAGAGGCTGATGGTGTGTTCTGGTGAGAGGCTGATTGTGTATTCTGGTGTGAGGCTGATTGTGTATTCTGGTGCGAGGCTGATTGTGTGTTCTGGTGAGAGGCTGACTGTGTGTTCTGGTGAAAGGCTGATTGTGTATTTTGGTGCGAGGCTGATTGTGTATTCTGGTGAGAGGCTGATGGTATATTCTGGTGCAGGGCTGATGGTGTATTCTGGTGCAGGGCTGATGGTGTATTCTGGTGCAAGGCTGATTGTGTATTCTGGTGCGAGGCTGATTGTGTATTCTGGTGCGAGGCTGGTTGTGTATTTTGGTGCAAGGCTGATGGTGTATTCTGGTGCGAGACTGGTTGTGTATTTTGGTGCAAGGCTGATGGTGTATTCTGGTGTGAGACTGGTTGTGTGTTCTGGTGCGAGGCTGATTGTGTTTCCTGGTGCGAGGCTGGTTGTGTATCCTGGTGCGAGGCTGGTTGTGTATCCTGGTGCGAGGCTGATTGTGTATTCTGGTGCGAGGCCGATTGTGTATTCTGGTGCGAGGCTGATTGTGTATTCTGGTGAGAGGCTGATTGTGTATCCTGGTGCGAGGCTGATTGTGTGTTCTGGTGAGAGGCTGATTGTGTATCCTGGTGCGAGGCTGATTGTGTGTTCTGGTGAGAGGCTGATGGTGTGTTCTGGTGAGAGGCTGATTGTGTATTCTGGTGTGAGGCTGATTGTGTATTCTGGTGCGAGGCTGATTGTGTGTTCTGGTGAGAGGCTGACTGTGTGTTCTGGTGAAAGGCTGATTGTGTATCCTGGTGCGAGGCTGATTGTGTATTCTGGTGTGAGGCTGATTGTGTATTGTGGTGCGAGGCTGATTGTGTGTTCTGGTGAGAGGCTGGTTGTGTATCCTGGTGCGAGGCTGATTGTGTATTCTGGTGCGAGGCCGATTGTGTATTCTGGTGCGAGGCTGATTGTGTATTCTGGTGAGAGGCTGATTGTGTGTTCTGGTGCGAGGCTGATTGTGTATTCTGGTGCGAGGCTGATTGTGTGTTCTGGTGCGAGGCTGATTATGTGTTCTGGTGCGAGGCTGATTGTGTGTTCTGGTGCAAGGCTGACTGAGTATTCTGGTGCGAGGCTGATTGTGTGTTCTGGTGCGAGGCTGATTGTGTATTCTGGTGCGAGGCTGATTGTGTATTCTGGTTGTTTTCCACTGCACATTCCTCTCCGTGAACACAGACACTGTTATGTAAGAGAGATTCCAGACATGGCGCTCGAGGCGCTCTGCTGCTGCAGCAGCTGCACACAAACCTCCACATTACATCACGCTTCACACACACAGAGGGCTGTCACTAATGATCACACTAGCAGTCTAGCACTAGTTTTGGAACAGTCTTATAGATTCCTGACATTTATCAGAGCTGGAGGCTCACAGATGATAAAACCAGGGAAAAATGACAAAGTTTTATTTTTTGCTATTTTAAAAGACATTGTAGTTACAATATACTAAATAAAATCTCATATCTCCAAAATAGTAACTTTACAGGAGAAGCAAAAAACATACTTTACTTTT